TTCTGGATCGTTGACCAAAATTTCTTGCGCCTTTGAATTTGAGCCGGAGATATTTTCTCTCTCTCTCTCTCTCTATCTCTCTTTCTCTCTCTAACACACACGCCAGATCAAATGGGTCTTCTCTCCCTCACTCTCTCTCTTTCTACTGTCTCGCACACACACTTACACGCAGAGGCCAGAGATGGTGAATCTGCTTTCAATTCGAGCCGCCGGAGATTTTCTCTCTCCCTCTCTCTCGGAAAAACACACCGGAGATGTTTTCCCTCTCTCTCTCTCAGACACACAATACACCGGAGGAGATATTCTCTCTCGGTCTCTCTCTCCGACGATGCACCAACATACACGATGGAGGAACTCGAAGAGAAACTCCAAAAGGAACAGGAAAAGGAATTCGAAGAGGTACTCTCTCTCTCTCTCTCTCTCTCTCTCTCTCTCTCTTACACACACACACACACAAAGCCTGTTTGCGCTTATGATATTATGGAAGGGGATAAATGTGCTTTGAATTTGAGGTTTCTAGTAATAAATTTCTTTTGATTAATTAGTGCTGGAATTTTGAGCTTCAATAATTGGTTGATCATAAATGAATTATGATATATGAAATTTGTATGAACTAATTCAGATCTGGTGGTTTTGCATGCACATAGCCATAATATATGAAATGAATGTGATTTTCACCGTTAATTTAGCTTCCGATTCCGATAAACGAAACCGTATGATAACGAAATGGTGCTTGTTTTAATCGAGACGAAATGGTCACTGTACTTGATATGTGAAGTGAATGTGATTTTCATCGTTAATTTAGCTTCCGATCCCGATAAACCGATAAACGAGTCGTACGATAAAGAAATGGTGTTTGTTTAAATTACAGTTGATGAGATTGCACATTAATTATTAATTAGTAGTCCGATCGATCTTAATTATTTCCAATTTGTTTCAATCTAATTTCTCGTCCGAACGTATGTGCAGTATTTCCCGGGCTCACATTCTATCCGTACGAAGAGACAACTGATGAAATACCTCAAGGAAAACAGAGTGATAACATCACTCGAAGTGGTAAGAGTAATGAATATAATCGACCGGGCTTTGTTTGTACCCGACGGCTCACCCCCATACGTCGACTGCCGTCTGCTAAACGGCTTCCATAGTTTTATGTTAGCACCTCGCCATCATGCACAGTGCCTTGAGCTGTTACAGAACCATTTGAAGCCCGGCATGCGTGCTCTTGATATCGGCTCAGGTAATATATATTTTTAAGAATGCATGCAGTTTTTCGTTTCGGATTTTGTAATTAAGGTACATAATTATATATATATAATTAACTTGATGTATAATTAGGGACGGGGTATTTGACTGCTTGTTTTGCCGTTATGGTTGGATGCCGCGGCCGTGCAGTTGGTGTGGATCTTGTTCCCGAATTGGTCGAACTTTCGATTAAAAATATCGAAAAGAGTAAAGCAGCCCCACTATTAAAACAAGGGTCACTCTCAGTCCATGTTGGTAGTAAGTATATATATATATATATATATATATATATATATATACACACACACATATATATATATAAATACGTACATGTCGCTCTCTTTCTATATATTTTCGATGTTTTTTGAACATTTGGAAATTAATTTGATTCAATTTTTGTTTTGTTTTTACCTTGTATTGTGATCTTGGTAGATGGAATAGAGGGGTGGGCGGAGTGTGCGCCTTACGATGCAATTAGCGTTGGATTTCTTGCACCGGAATTATTTCCGGCATTTCTCGAGCAGTTGAAGCCGGGCGGTAGATTGCTGGTCGGCGTCGAAGATGGTGACTCCGTGAAGAACATGGTAATTGATAATTATTAAGAAATAATTAATGTGGCAACACAATTAATTGATCGAAAAGTTCAGAGTTAGTTAATTAATGATTTTTGGATGAGCCTTTGTCAGGTTAAAGAAATTTTTCTTGAATCCAAATTGAATTAAATTAAAATTAAAATTTCACACAATTACTTGTTTCAATTTTCTTATGTAGAATATTATTGCATAAACCTTATGGTATTGGTAATTACAGAAATTACTCCTAAAGTTAACAGTCATTATAACTTATAAACCCTTTATGGTATTGGTAATTACAAATAACTCCTAAAATTAACAGTCATTATATTTATAAGTCCTAGTAGAATGAATAAATTATCTAAATTACCCTTATACTAAACAACCAAATTATCCGTAAATTGAGTAATGTTTGAGGTGAGACAAAATGCTGCACTAGAGGAACTCTACTAATAGTCCTCCACAGTCTACACTTGCCTTTTCTTTTTTCTCCGTAAAATAGAAATCCAATCACTATTAATAGAAAATGTAGAAAACGAAACGCAACCGAAAAGACCAAGAGCTAAACTACAGAAACTTTGGACTATCCGTATTATTATTATTAGGGCAAACTTCACTTTGCACCCCTGAATTATTAGGCGTGTCGCATATACACCCCTCAAATGGTTCGCGGTCGCTGTTTTCGAAAGTCGGGACCATGAGGAGGGCATATAAATTTGGTAAGGGGCAAAAATGAAATAAATAAATAAATCGTCTAAATTGGGTCATTTGTGACTCAGGCTGAAGGAAATAAAATTTTGTGGGCCTTGTAATGAGTGGGCCCAAGAAGGATTGGCTTAGGGTTGCTTGCAGCTGAGCTGAGAGAATTAAGTAATTAAGGGCAGAAGATGCATCCGCCGCTCCTGCTCTGGACACGTGGCAATATCTGGATGGTCTGATAATGCCACGTCAGCAGATGACTGGGTGGCACGTCTGAGAGTGAGTGGGGGTGGGTGGGTAGGGGGTTTCCGAAACGGGAAAAAGTGCATGCATGGTACCATAAGAGCTCAAAAAGGTGCTTGGACACTTGGGGAAAGAGGCTACCTACCCAGAAACCCTAGTGTGGCTGTTTTGAATCAAATAAGCAATTCTTTTACTTCTTCTTCTTATTCTACATAGCTCTCTTCTTTCCTCTGTTTTTTCTTCATTCTGTGGTAACTTTTCTTCTTTGTTTGATTTTGCTGCCGGATAGGATGCGTGGAACTAGGATTTTGCGGAACCTCTACCAGAATACTACTCAGTCGAACGAACCGGAGGTACTCTCTCTCTCTCTCTCTCTCTCTCTCTCACACACACACACACACACACACCCCGCAGAGAGCCTGTTTGCATTTTGTATTTTGGAAGTAGCTAAATGTGCTTTGAACTATTTAGCTTCATTTGTCAACTATATATATATATATATTAATACATACGGTTTTTTGCACTTAATGAATAACAGTATACTGATCTTATTATTACCACATTGGTTTTTTTTTTTTTTTTTTTTCCCGGCAACAGCTTTTTCCAGGGGGGCATTCTCTCGCTACAAAGAGAGATTTGTTGAATTACCTGATTAAAAACCGACAGGTGCAATCGGGGGAAGTGGCAAGAGTACTTCATACGTTAGACAGGGCTTTGTTTGTACCTAATGGCACACCCCCATATGTCGACAGACATCAGCCAATCGGCAATGGTTCGTCTATGTTTGCACCTAACCAAAATGCTCTTTACCTCGAGTTCTTGCACGACAATCTGAAGCCCCGGCATGCATGCTCTTGATATTGGCTCCGGTAATATATCTATATCTATATATCTATATACATACATGTATCTTTGTTATGATCTGTCGTTTTTGAAACGTGGAATTTTGTAGGGTCGGGGTATTTGACTGCCTGTTTTGGCGTTATGGTGGGACCAACCGGGCGTGCTGTTGGTGTGGAAAAAATTCCTGAATTGGTTGATTTTTCAGTTCAAAACATCGAAAAGAGTGAGGCTGCACCACTGCTTAGACAAGGCTCGCTCTCGATCCATCTTGGTGGTAAATATGTTTGCTCTCTTTCCATTCTCGAGTTTCGGACATTTCCAATCTAATTTGATTCATTCGTTTTTTCTTGTATTAATATGATTTTGGGAATTCTGTTTTTTTTTTTTGGTAGATGGGACGAAGGGATGGGCGGAGTTTGCGCCTTATGATGCGATTATTGTTGGATGGATTGTGCCGGAAATTTATCCGGCATTGACCGAGCAGCTGAAGCCCGGCGGCAGATTGCTGGTGACCGTTGAAGATGGCCCCTCCGTGCACCAGCTGGTAGTTGATAAGGAATCCGATGGCAACATAATCGTACGGTCGAAAACTCCCGTTCATCGCGTTCGCACTAGGGGGTCGAATATCTCAGTTGCACCGTTGCAGTGATCGATCGAGGTGTTGTCACTACTACTATATTTATCTGATAATGCTTAAGAAGAAACACTCTGTTCTTGTTTTCGATCGACTTTTATTGCTGTCTGTATTAATATTGCAGAACAACTAAGTTAAGAGACTGATTTCGGATGCGTGTCTTTAATTTGTTCTCGTGGTTTAGCTTTTCGTGTTTACCGTACTGAACTTGAATTTTCTAAAAAAAAGATCGATTATGGATTATTAATTTTTTGTCATATTCCTACTTTCGATTCAAAAATATTTGTGATGGAAAATGAACTTACGTATGAAGTCCCGTTTTTCGATTTTATCAAGTTTATGAATGATTCAAATATTTAATATTAGGGATGAAACAAAATAAAACTTTCAACTTATTATTGACTGCATCATAACGAATCAAGGTCGAACATCTTTTTTTAATTTGCGAGTTCAACTGATTTATGAAAAATATCAACCGAAACCAGTCGATTAACCGGAATATGGTTTTTCACTACATGAGAAGAAGCTAGGCCTTTTGATTGTAATATGCTTCATCAAGTACTTATTTATAGAATATAATTTTATATATTCCACACATTTTAAGTGGAACCTCAATAAATTAATAATCTCGCTTAAATAATACTTTCTTTTGGCCCCGACTCGGTAAAAACCTACTAAATTATTAGTTCGATAATTTAATATATCGTTAAATTAATAAAATTTTACTAGTCACGACTCTATTAATTTATAGGGGTTTAACTGTACTTAGAAATAGAATTATTTCATATTTTTTTATTTTAGTTTATTTGAGAATTAATATAATAGCATCAAAATGAAATACAAGTTGGGGAAAAGAAGCGTGAACTTACTGAGAATAAAAGGGAGCCAATCATGGATTGACAACTCAGCATGTTCATGCTGATACCCCATAGGTACTGTGGTTAGTTAGTTAGGGCGGTTACTCTTTAATCAACTCTTCTTCTTCTTCTTCTTCCCCCTCTTTTTTTCTCCTCTCTCTCATCTGATCCTCCTTCTTTCTTCATTCTGTTTCTCTCTCTCTCTATATATTGTTCTTCTTCTTCTTTGATTTTTCTGGTACTCTTAGTGAATTGCAGAGGGAGTTTCTCTGTGGAAGTAGGAATCAGCTGAAGCTCTGCCATAACACTACTCTCTTTCACTTCATGGAGCGGGAGGTATGCTACTCTCTCTCTCTCTCTCTCTCTCTCTCTCTCTCTCTCTCTCTCTCTCTCTCTCTCTCTCTCTCTCTCTCTCTCTCTCTCTCTCTCTCTCTCTCTCTCTCTCTCTCTCTCTCTCTCTCTCTCTCTCTCTCTCTCTCTCTCTCTCTCTCTCTCTCACCAGATTTCCATGGCTGAATGTGCTTTGAATTTGAGGATTCTTGTAATTTCTTCTGAGTATAATTAGTTATTGGAATTTGAGAATCGATTTTGGGGATAAAAACGTGCATGATGTTTATCGAGCTTCATTGATCTGACTATCGATATGTATGAACCGATTATAATTAGTGATTTTCATTGAAGTCAAATTTTGATTGCGCCAGAAATGCGGTACAGATTATGATAATTTTTCCGATTTCCCTATTTGCTACGTGGTTAATGTTTCCGATTTTCCTGAACTTGCATTACGCTTTTTTTTTTTTCTTTCTGTGAGACATGATGTTATCGAGCTTCATTGATCTGACTGTCGATATGTATGAACTGATTCTAATTAGTGGTTTTCATTGAATCGAAATTTTGATTGCGCTAGAAATTCGATACAGATTATGAAATTTTTGCCGATTTTCCTATTTGCTATGTGGATAATTTTTCCGACGCTTTTTTTTTCCGTGAGAAATGTTACTGTTGGTGGCGATCACGTAATTCAAATGAAATATCAAATATGTCAAGTAAATGCGATTTTCACCATCTTTTTTTTTTATTTATAATTTTCTCCGACAGCCCTTCCCAGGCGGATACCGTATCACTACAAACCAAAGCCTAATTGCTTACCTGAGAAACTACGGAATGATACAATCAGTACAAGTGGAACGAACAATGGAAACAATAGACAGGGCTTTGTTTGTACGCCGGGGCTCATTCCCCTACATCGACACGCATCACCAAATCGGCCAAAATTCGTATATTTCTGCACCTACCCGACATGCTGCATTCCGTGAGTTCTTAAGGGACCATTGGAGGCCTGGTATGCGCGCTCTCGATATTGGCTCAGGTATAATTTTATTCGTAACATATATGGCTGCATATATATATAGATATATATATATATAATAGAACGACGTTTTTTTTTTCGTTCTTTCATGTGAGTTATTTACGTTTGCTGTAGGATCGGGATATATCACTGCTTGTTTTGCCTTTATGGTGGGACCAACCGGGTGTGCCGTTGGTGTGGAAAGGGATCCTGAAGTGGTTGATTTTTCGATTGAAAATATCAGGAGTAGTGCCGCTGCTGAACTACTTGAAAACGGATCTCTCTCGGTCAACTTCGGTGGTAAATTAATTAATATGTTGTAGGTTTTCAATTTTGCTTTTTTTTTTTTTTCGTGTTTAGTTATGATTTGTGGCAATTTCTTGATCGATGTAGACGGTAGGAATGGATGGGAGGATTGCGCGCCATACGATGCAATTCATTTTGGAGATGTTGCGGACGAAATATATCCACAACTTGTTAGGCAATTGAGACCTGGGGGTAGATTAGTGATAACCGTGTGGGCCCCCCGCCCCCCCTCCACAAGAGTGATAGTCATCGATAAGAATGTTGACGGCACTTTAACTCGAGCATTTCCTCGTTTTGACCCGATTCACTGATGGATCGAATATCCCGTTTTCGCATCATTTTTTGCTGTTTTTTCTTTTGGCTGTTAACAGGCTTCTCATGTTTACTTGCTATGAAAGCAACTCTTTTCGTGTTTACTGTTGGTAGTAGTACAGGGTGGACTCTGAGTAGATTTTTTCGACTTGCGACTATTTCAAATTCGAATTCAATTCCAACTATTTCAAATTCGATAATAGGAGTGTATCACTAGCCAAAAATAATAATATGCAACAATATTCAATAATCATCATCATGCAATCAATGTAAAATACTAATAATTTGCCAAATCTGCTCGCGTTCGAATTAACAGCAACACCGAGGGTGCATTGGTCGATTCATCTTCAGAATTTCTCGTCAAATTGAATCATCTTCTCGATATATCACCAGCTTAAGCAATAAAAACTATATTAACTAAACCAACTTCCTCTTTCGACAAAAAAATCTTTTTCTTACACAAATAAATAAGCATTCAATTTTTTAAGTACTGGAACTGCGTCTTAACCAAATCAAAAACTGTCGCGCCTCGGTCTGTCTTGAGCAACATTTACTCTAATCGGTCTCCCATCCAAACTCTGCAAACAAAAACGCCATCAAAACCACATTAAAAAAAATACCGTACAAATCATTTAATTTCAAATAAAAAAATTATAATAAGGCGAACGAACATAAGATAATATTATTAATTGTTTACCTGTCCATCGAGATTTGCAATGGCATCATTTACTTCCGACTCGTTCGACATCACCACAAAGCCGAAACCACGCGATCTTCCAGTTTCCCTATCGGAGACAACTCGAGCGCTCACAACTTTGCCGTACTCACTGAAAAGCTCTTCGAGGCGTGAGTCGTCAGCTGTCCATGGAAGATTGCCGACGTATATTTTTGGAGTAGTTTCAGATGAGACTCGAGGGACTCGTTCGGGTCTTGATCCTTTCGGGGCAGCTTTGTTTACAGTTAAGAGTCTGCCCCCTATATCCTGTTTTAAACGAAAAAAGAAAGAAAGGAATGATGATAAAGAATAATCCAAAATCATAGTTGTTGATGAAACGGGAAGACAGTCATATAAACTCAAAGGGTAGAAAGGTAAATTTGGCAAACATGAGTCAAGTATTTCTCATTATGTTAATATAAACAACAGGCAGGCTTTTATGAAGTTTTGGAGAAACAATATCAAGAAGTGACATGGCATAGTGGCTACAACAGGTAATACAACGAAATGTACGACTACAGTATCAAATGGGAATATGCTTGAAATTACTATATAGGTGCTGGAAAATAATGAATAGGAAGTCGAGGAGAGAAAGCTTCAAAGAATTTTCATGAACCAATTCGAGAAATGTGTCCCCAGCATAGCTTAAATCGTGTTGTGAAGTCAGAAAAGAAGGGCAGAGTCGGAAAATTGCTCGAGACTTTAATCCCAAGCCATGCATAAGACTGCTAAAAAACCTACATACTTCTGTTCAGATAAAGATGACAATCACAGTTAACTGTGATCGTTCAATCAGATAAAAGAACGTAACTCGTGAACTAGAATACAAGATTCTAATGAACAAACCAACTACGTTAAGACACCTCATCAACCTTATCCTATATCCACGACGACACCACATGATGTGTATTCTTCGGCAAACATTGCTTTTCCAATTACTAAATATTCAAGATTACAAACTCCATAGAACAAGAACAGCTCATCCGTATACATACATTAAAACATGCAGCAAAAGACTGTTCCAACATTCATACATACATACATTATAATTATATCCACACACACACACACACACACACACACACACACACACACACATTCAAACAGAGATAACTATGATTTTACAAAACATCGAAAACTTACGTAGCGATGGAACATATCCACAGCCTTCTCCGCCTCTTCAACGGTACTCATCGTCACGAATCCGAACCCTCGACTCTGATCAGTCTCCCTGTTATAAATAATCTACATAACCACCACACATCCACAAAATCAAAACTTCGAATAAAAATCGAACATTTTTTTTTAATTTCCAATACCACACAATTAAATCCACAATTCATAAGTCGGAAAGTAAAATTCCTACCTCAGCGATTTCAACAACACCAGCATCCTCAAAAAGCTTAGCCAATTTCTCACTGTCCACGTCATACGGCAAATTCCCCACGTACACTTTCGCCTCCTCAGATGGCTCCGAAACGACGTCGTTCTCAGTACCCGACGCCGCGCCCCAATTGAAATTACCCTGAAACCCTTCTTCCTGCTCCTCCACGAGTACTGGGTTGCCCTCCTCTTGCAGAGCGGAAACGATGGAAACCCTAATTAGGGTTTCTTTCTTCTTCAGTGACGAGAAAGTAGGGAGTGAAATTGAAGAAGAGTACGAGCAATTGAGCTGGAATTTAACGGGTTTGAACCGGATCGACAGATTTGGGTGTGAATACGAAGCTCTGGAAGTGGTGAATAGCGACGGAACGGAAGTGAAGCAGCCGTTTGTTGCCATTGATGCAGGCTTCAACGCGGGTTTAGCAACAAAAGACATTTTTTTTTGTTATGCACGAAGAAATGGAAAATTGAAGGGTTTGAGGAAAGAGGATAAGGGTGAAATGGGGAAGAGGCAAAAATCTCTGGACTGTGAAATGCGGCGGATAATGCAAAGCTGAAATGATATTATCTCTTCATGAAAGGCCCGTAATTGTTTTTCTTTATGAATTGGACCCCTGGATTATTTTTTAATTGCTATAAAACCCCTAATAATATTAATAGTAGCAAAAACCTTTAAAAATGCATTTTTTTTATGAATAATTGACGCTTTGCACCCTCGAGTTACGTGTCATTGGCGCATGCTTAAATTGAAAAATTGGCAGAATACATCCTCCAATAACAATTTTTTTTTGGCAATTTACACCCCCATTCACCTTTTGGCTAAAACAATTTGCGTGTTACCTGTTACTTGTTTGTGGGATTTTAAGATGGGTAAATTTCTCTTTATTTTATTTTTTATGAAATTTAAAAATAGTTCGTCATCTAATAATTTTACTTTCGTATATTTTATGGTTTTCAACATGAAGAAAATGGGTGATCGAATTGAGGATATGCGTAAAATGATTAATTATATTATTAGATGATGAAATATTTTTAAAATTTTTGAAAGATTAAAAGAAATACAAATCTACACTTTTTAAAGTCACGAAGCAGGTAACCGATCAAGTTTGTAGCTAAAAGATGAATAAGGTGCAAAGTGCTAAAATAATTGTAATTGAAGGGCGCATTCTACAAAAAATTCAATTTAAGGGTGCAAAGTATCAATAACATGTAATTTGAGGGTGTTAAAGTGTCAATTACCCCATTTTTTTGGGCAAATTGCACGTCACCCTCTATAAATTTCTAATTTTCGCACTTTACTCCCTCAAAATTTTTAAAAGTGAATGTCCCCCTTCAAAATGTTATTCTTGTTGCACATTGCCCCGATAACAAAATTTCGATAGATTATTCATCGGTCTTTGAGTATTTTTGTTACATATTGCCCATTTATATGTTATTTTTGTTGCACTTTACCCCTTAAAATCATTATATTTTTGCACATTATCTCTTTAAAATGGTATATTTGTTGCACAATGCCCATCAAAAATTGACTTTTGGAGCAAAGTGCAACTAAAATAATATTTTGAAGGGGCATTATCCAACTTTTGAATTTTTAGAGAGAAAAGTGCGAAATGAGAAATTTGTAGGTGCTGAAGTGCATTTTATCCCATTTTTTTAGGGGGTATTAGTGAGAACCCCCTCTATCATTTTTTTTAATAAAAATGGGTTCAACCTCATTTCCTTTATTAGTGATAGGTCCAACTTTTTTTAATTCTCAAATTTACCATTTCTTACTATTCACTATCCAGTACTTTAATATCTATTTTTTTTTTCTTTTAATTATAATATTCGTTTATTTATTTAAAAATATTTTCTTTTCAATTTTATTATTTTTATTTTCTAGTTTTTTATTTTCATATCGATTATAAAATTTCGAAAACAACTATAAAATTTTCGGAATCAACTATTTCCAAAATCAACTATTTTCGAAATCAATTATTTTTGAAATTGACTATTTCCATAATCAACTATAGATTACTGAAAACAACTATTGTTTTTTTGTTCGTTTATTTCTCGAACCAACAATCACATTAATAGTTATTTTTAATAGCAGGTTTACTAAAATTATATCAACTACAAATTAACGAAAATTAACCATAACAAATTGAAATCAACTAAAATTTTATCAAATCAACTTTAAAATTATCTAAACCAACTATAAAAATCGAAAACAACTATAATTTATCTCAATTCTCAATTTAAGAGATTAAACAACTATAGTTCAATCCAGATGTTGGACATTACAATCGCATATCCATCGAGAAAAGGGCTATATCTCTACTGACCATGTGTTGAATCAGAAGGTTGTGAGGGTGATTTGTTCCATTGCCACCGTCTCAACCATTCCCCAACTTCTATATGCCAATGACTCTTAGGTGAAGAAAGGACGCAAATCCCTTGCGTCAACCGTCATTTACCACTCTGCCACATCAGATCGCCGCTGCGGATACCTAAAATGGTTTCAGAGAAAATTAGTATTAAAAATCAACTACACTCTACAATATATCGAAAATCAACTACAAACCACATTTTTATCGAAAATCATGAATACAGATCTGAACCGAATCTGAAAATTCGATCTAAAATTGACAAAGGATGAATTAACTGCTTTGCTCCGATGAGTTTTTTATTACCAGTTTCATCCTCGGGTTGAAAGAATCAGCAAAAGTCGCGACTCGAGGCAATCGGAGAGCGATTGTTGCCTACTGAATGACGGGTTCTGGTATTCGGCGAGACTCAAAAAGAGTAAATGATTAACGAGGGCACCGTTGGGCGGTGACAACGGCGGTGGATGGAAGGCAGCGACGACGGCGGTGGACGGAGGGCAGCGACGATGGCGGTTGACGGAGGGTGGCGGTGGGCATATGAGATCTGGAGAGGTGGTGGATGTAGAGAAAAAGGAGATGAATAAGACAAATAGGGTTTGGTAATTTTCAATGTTATCAGAACCGGACCGGCTATAGAACCGGATGACCATTTGGGTCATGGGTTTATAGGGTCGAACCGGTTCAACCGGGTTTTTGATTTTTTTTAATATGCTATTATTTTATTAATTTTAATGTTTTAAAAATATTATTTTGTTTATATTTTTAATCTCCGAGTTATTATTTTCGCTTTTATCTACTTCACCTCCCTTTTTACTATATTTTATTGCTTATATTCTATATTTTTCAATTTTTTATTCTTCAAATCCGACAATCGATCACCCCCATTCGATCACCCATTATCATATCTGACAATCCTTCGACCACTCATGATTAAATCCGACCACCCACTACTAAGTATGTGAAGATTCGCTCAAATTTAGCCACAAATAACCAGCTCAACGGTGATTCGAGACGTTTTGGCCAAAAACCGGGTTCCTTGACTGACTCGGCGGTTCTCGGGTTTTACCCGGTCGAACCGGATTTTGATCATTTAACCCCGGTTTTTTATTTTTCCGGTTTTAGATGTTAGACCGGACCGCTTTATTGCCGGTTCGGTCCGGTTCTAACAACATTACTAATTTTATATAATAACTAAGGATAATATAGACATACCACTTAAAATTTAAATTTATGTTAAATTAAAATATAAAATAAAGGAGTTCTCACATACACTAATATGTAAAATGAAGGTGTATCCATCTTAATATAATCAAGTATTGGGGTTTTCCACTAATTATCCCCTTTTTTTATTATACAATCTCTTGAGAGAGAGAGAGAAGAGAGAGAGAGAGAAGAAATGGCTTATGCTGCTGCTGCTGCTGTAGTTTCTCTGAAGCAGAAAATAGATCGCCTTCTCAATCCTTCTCTATCCATGATTCATAATCCGAATTCAGAAATGGGATTAATTTATCACGACCTATCTTACTTGCAATCATTCCTCGAAACAATCATTTATTTCCAAAGCAACAAGAGAGTAGCAGATCCTCTAGAAACACATCTCAAAGGCGTATTGCATAAATACAAAGATCTAATCGCCTCCGAATTATCATACCGATTTCGTTCAGTATCTTCTAGAAGCTTCAATTTCAAACTGTCCGAAGAACTGCTGAAAATCGGACAAGAAATCAGCTCGTTCATCGAAAAATTGGAGTCCGAGGAAAACCACAATAGAGGAGAAGAAGAAGAAGACGATCCTTCGATAATTGGTTATCGTATGAATAAAAAAATGATTGGATTGGGAAATCAACTGAAGGAGCTACAAGATTGGGTTTTGTCGGGAAAATTCTGGTGGGAAATTCCCCAATTGGATGTGATGGCGGGAAAATCGGAGCTCGAGTTGATGTTAATTGCAGGTATGGCTGGAATCGGGAAGACGGCTTTCGTCGACGAAGTTTATCGCAATCCACTTGTTGTGAAACATTTCGACCACCATTTGTTTTTGCGGATCGGGCCGAATTACGATTTGAAAGAAACTCTGACGCTCGCTCTCGATCAAATCGGTGTCGAATTCGATGAAATGCACGGAAACAACGTTGTCGACGAACAATTTTTAGGCGGTTGTGTACGTAGGTATCTACGTTATAGGAGGTATTTGGTTGTTTTGGACGATGTATGGAGTATCGATGTCTGGAATGTTCTAGAGCGTTTCTTCCCGCACGATGGTTCCGGGAGTCGTGTCGTCCTGACGTCTAGGCTGCTAGACTTGACTCGTCGTGTTGATGTTGTAAGAAACGTTCTCCGAATACCGTTTTTGAACGAGAACGAAAGTTGGAATCTACTTCATGGCAAGGTATTCGGTACTAATGGAGAGATTTGCAGTCGGCAACTCGAGAAAATCGGGAGGAAGATTGCCAAGAAATGCGAAGGGCTCCCTTTGGCAATTATCGAAGTTGCAGAGCTACTATGTGGAATCGAGAAAACGGTCGAAAATTGGAAGGCGGTAGCAGAAAAGGAAGATCCACTTACCATAGACGAAGAAACACCCCTATCGAAGGCACTAATTTTGAGTTACACGATGTTGCCTCAATATCTAAAGGTTTGCTTTCTGTATATGAGTGTTTTCGTAAAGAAATACGATATTCGTCGCTCGAAGCTCATCAAATTGTGGGTTTCTGAAGGCTTTCTTGAACCACAAACACAAGGGAGTATAAAAAGCTTGGAAGAAACCGCCGACGGGTACTTGAACGAACTTATTTCCCAAAGTGTTGTTTTAAGTAAAGAGTTAAGGTTTATAGATACAAAGGCAACTAAAATCTGCAGGCTGCATTTTACCTTTCGAAATCTATGCGTTAACGAAGCTAAGCGTGAGAAGTTTCTCCATATAATAAACAAGTACGACAATAGTTTTCCGGACGACATAGATAGCCAGCAAAGGCTCTGTGCACACAATAACATCGTTCTTGGTTTCAGCGAAGCGCATAGCTGGATGGAGTTAGTTCCGGATACGCCTTCTCTTCTTTGTTTTGGTCCGCAGCAGCAATATCCGATCGAGTTGTACCTAGGTTTCAGGTTGCTCAAGGTACTAGACGCAGTTTCAATGCGCTTTTACGAGTTCCCACATCGAGTAATGGAGCTAGTTCAATTAAGGTACCTTGCGCTCAAATTCAAGGGGGAGCTCCCTTCTTCCATATCACGTCTTTCGAACCTAGAAGTCTTGATTATTCATTGGCATCATAGGGTAATCAAATCGTCGAATTTTCCGGTTTATTTGCCTGTAGAGATTTGGAAGCTGCATAAACTCAAACACCTGGAGTGCATGGGATTTGACCTGCCTGATCCTTCTCCTGCAGACGATGATTCTCTTATCCTGGAGAAACTTATAACACTTTCTGGTGTGAGTGCTGACAGCTGTACAAAAAGAATTCTTTCAAAACTGCCTAACCTAATGAAATTAGGTATTCGGATCGAGTTGGCACATGACTCCGTCGAAACCTTCAGTTTCATTGGGGATTTTGCATCTCTGTATGAAGAATTTGAGTCGTTCAAATGCATCGTTGTAAACCCTATCCCTAAAGGAGGGAGTAGTTTAGTATTTAATAACTTGATATAATATATACACACAAAATGCACTTCACCCCTTATATAATTTCCATTTTCGCATTTCCCCCTATAAAAATTCAAAAACGGATTTCCCCCCTTTGAAATTTTGTTTTGGTTGCACTTTGACCCAAAAGCCAATTTGTGGTGGGCATCGTGCAACAAAAATAACCTTTTAAAGAGACAATGTTCAGAAAAATAAAATTTTGAAGGATAAATAACATTTGAAGGGGCAATGTGGAACAAGAAAACTCTATCCGATGAATAATCCATCAAAATTTTGCTGTTGGGGCAACGTGTGCAACAAAGATAATATTTTTGAAGGGAGACAGGGAGACATTCACTTTTTCTAAAATTTGAGGGGGTAAAGTGCAAAAATAAGAAATTTATAGGGTATATATATATATATATATATATATATATATATATAATTCATCTATAATTAAAAAATCACAGGAATGATTGCTGCAACATGCTGTTATCTAAGTTCATGTGTATTATCTCCATTCCAAGTTTAATGGAAGCCAATATTAAAAGTCAACTTGGATTGATCCACCTATAATAAAAGATCCCATTTCTTCTTACCTTCCCAGAAAATGGATTCCTCAACTTCCACTAATGCTTCCCTCCCTATAGATTCACCTCCACCGGCTTCTCCTCTTCCTTTCAATTCACCACCGCCGCCGCCGCCACCACCACCGCCGCATCATTGTCCTATCAATTCACCACCACCACCACCACCTCCACCTTCCTTTCAATCAAGCCATCCATCCCGGAAACACAAAACTCGGTCGAGGTAGGTATATAATTCCATTACACTTTGATCATAGATTTAATTCCTTATGCATTTACAATATTTGATTGGGATAAAATATTTAATTATTTTAATTAAAACCAGATGCTATGTGATACTATGATGCAGGCCACTTCAAATTGGTGGTACACCCAATGTTCGAAGTCTTTCCTCGGTGGCCAATGCTGCACGTCGTCGTTCGCAATTATACAAGCCGAAAATACGATTCGTAATGGCGATTATTTACCTAAATAAAATGATTTTCTAAACATCAAAATTTATTAAATTTCTATACTAAATTTGTTTCTTACTACTTCTATTTCGTAATTCTTTATTTGTTAGATTAATTGGCATCGAGCTTTTAACTGCGAAATTGTGCTCTCAAAAGTCAAGATTCCCCTGCCACAATTCGTCGTAAGTTTCTCTACTTCAATCTTGGCATAGATTTTATCCATCAATTTTCGTAACGAAAAACTCGAGTAATATTAAATTGTATTAACAAATCAATATCTTATACCACTTCATTTTTCAATTTTTAGAATGCGATCCTGTCGATGGATTCTTCTGCTCTGGGAATCGAGCAAGTTGAGGATATTTTAAGATTCTATCCTAATGTAGTAGAAATGGATACGCTAAAGGTAGTTAAACCCGATAGACATCGGTTTTGTATTCAATGAATGACTTAATTACCATAATCCTACTTCAATCGTAGGGAAAATTACAGTTTTCATCCCTCAAGCTTGTTTCACATTTGGTCCCTCATATTCGTGAAAAACACATTTGGTCCCTCGTGTTTCAATAAGTTAACACTTTTGGTCATTTCCGTCAATTTACTGGTAGTCCGTCAGTTAAGGCAGTGATGGGCACACGCTTGATTCCATTAGTATTAACGTAAAATTGACGGAAATGACTAAAAGTGTTCAAATTTTGAAACATGAGGGACCAAATGTGTTTTGTGTGAACATGAGGGACCAAATATGAAATCGGTGCAAACTTGAGGGATGGAAACCGTATTTTTCCCTTCAATCGTAATATTCTCTTTGAGTTGTCCAACGGTAAGTTTATTTTTTACAGAAATACAGTGGCGACAAGAGGAAACTAGGAAAGTGTGAACAGGTATATTTTACGACTTTGTCGATTTATTAATGGAATTGCCATTACTAACGAATGCACTTCTGAATATTTCAGTTTTTCCTGGATCTAATGAAAGTTCCGAGAATGGAATCCAAATTAAGAGTATTTCTTTTCATAGTAACTTATACGAGCCAGGTGCATATTCGTAATACTCGTTAATTCATTTTTTATACCGAGATAAATATTTATTAAGCAGATTTTGTTCTTAAGGTGACGAACATTAAACTGGAACTGAATATAATCAATGCTGCTGCTAAAGAGGTACCGTTTTTATTAAGTTAGATGCTTATCACCTATTAAGACACTGTAAATTATTATTCATTTTTTTTAATCGTTGGTAGATTAAAGAATCGGTGAAGTTACGTCAACTAATACGGACAATCCTTGCACTTGGAGTTCCATTTAATCGAGGCAGTGCATCACGTATAAATCCCTCGACCGAATTGTTTTATTACATTTCTATTTGACTGTAATAAGAATTTAAAATCTATTATTCACACTCCGATAAGTTTGCGTTTTTCAGGGCCTACTAGGTTATTGACATTGGACAGTCTTCTCGGGCGTCCCGGTACTCCCGAAAGAAATAACAAAACTGCATTATTGCGTCACTTACGAAAGGTAGAGCTAGCATATACTAACTATATAAATACATACGTTCGTTTACCGATGTTGCCCGTTTTAATTATCTAGTTTTTTTAGGTTATAGTTCAGAGAAAACCGGAGTTGCTAGATTTCAGTAAGGATCTTGTTCATTTAGAACCGGCTTCGAAGGTTCGTCTTATTATACATTATTAAATTTTAAAATATTTATTCCATAACATGTTTGAAGAGAATAATCGACTTATTTGGTACTTGTTCATCTGTGACTTGGCTGCATACACTAGATACGACTTTCGTCTTTGGCTAACGAGACATATGCAGTTTATAAAGGCATTGAGAGGGTTAAACGAGAACTCGTTTCAGCAGAGAATGACGGTGCTGTATTTTCGAGGTTTCGAAAGGTATGAAAAGTATTAACTATGAAGCTTTTTGACGTTCTCATAATCAAGTAGTTGGAGACATTGTATACAAGAAATTAGAGTTTAGAGATTAAAAACTTATTAATGAAGAAGTTGTTGGTTAATTACTCAATTGGGTTCGAGCAGGTTTTGAAGAGTTTCGTTGATACTGCCGAGTCGGAATTGACGGGGTTCGGGTCACTTTACATTCAAGTGGTGAGGTTAAAGATTTAATTACTATGCTGGTTTAAATACACATTTGAATCTACTTCATATCGAAACGTAATATGCAGGGGAGGATTGTAGATTCACTGACAGTTCATTTTCTCGACGATCCAGAAAGATATTCCTTTGAGAAAGGTTTATGACGTATTCACTGTCATTTTTTTTAGGTGTATGCATATATGGCACTCGATTACTCGTGAATACAATTTTTTAGTTGTATGCATATATTTTTAAGAGAAACTTGTTGAGATTTGTAAATTACAACTATCGTACCTCTTAACAATTAATTTCAAGATTCTTGATAACTTTGATTTTCGTTTGTGCAGTGATTGAAACTTTTGTCGTCTTCACGAAAATGCTTACTGATGATGAAAAAACAAGCAGCAGGCGAACAATGAGACGTGATGCAATTCAAAATCAGACCCGCCAAGATATATAACTAGTCGGATCAATAGATCCCTTGTACATAGGGCTGAGATAAAGAAAAGGAAAAGGATCGAAAAACCGAATAACTGAGACCTTGTGAACCATACCGAGCTAGGAGCCATTGGCATGGAGAGAGAGAGAGAGAGAGAGAGAGAGAGAGAGAGAGAGAGAGAGAGAGAGAGAGAGAGAGATGAGAAACGTGTTAGATTTTCTCTCTCCATTACTTATTCTTCACTCTTCTCAACCAAATTCTATTTACTGTTCCATTACAATTTCAGTAAGATTTTAGCATATTTATTATACATTAAAATCTCAAAAATAGTGTTAAAATCTTACATTTGGTATAATGTTACATTACTTGAGATTATATATATTATGATGGATTTTAGCTTATTATCTGCAATGTAGTATATATAATATATATTTTAATGTTATTAAATTGAGATAATTGGAAGAAGATCACTACAATCCATCCAGACATTATTATTGGAATCTATACACATGCTTTCAGGTCAAATATTAAAAATAAAAAATAAAAGTCTGAAGTTTCTTACAGGTATGTAAGATATATTTATTTTATGGTTCGATTCAGTGACGGGGCTTCACGTAATCTTGTTTCGTTGTATTTAAAAAATAAACATGGAAAATGCAAAGTTGACTGCTTATATTGAAATACTAACCATCATCGAGATTGAGAGAGAGACGAAGAAGAAGAAATGGCTTACGCAGCTGTAGTTTCTCTCAAGGAGACAATAGAGCGCCTTATGCTTCGTTCCCGATCTGAAATTCTTCTTTCCGACTCCGAAATGAGACTTATCCACGGTGATCTCTGTTACCTGCAATCCTTTCTTGAATCAATCAGCCCCTCACAAAGCAGAAAGACTGTACATGCTTTGGAAACACAAATCAAAGATGCAGTACATACATTTGAAGATCTGATCGACTCCCATCTATCAGATAATCTATCTCTTTCGGTGTCTGAAATCTCCGAACAAGTGCTCGAATTCAGACAAGAAATTAGTTCATTCACCACACCGTTGAAGTACGAGGAAGAGTTCGACGAAGAAGACCAGCAACAGCACATCGATTCTTTTGCTGCCATAGCTATTGTGGGAATGGTGAATGAACTAATACAACTATTGGGTTGGCTCGAGTGGAATTCACCCAGCCTCGATATTATCTCCCTCGTGGGCATGGCTGGTATTGGTAAGACTACTCTTGCCAAACAAATTTACGATGATTCATTTGTTGCAGATGTTTTTGGCGCTCGTTTTTTCATACCAATAGGACCGAAATATCAGCTGAAAAAAATTCTCCTACTCGCACTCCATCAAGCGGGATTCCACACCGACAAAATTCACCACAAAGAGGATAAAGTATTAGCCGATGATCTATGCCTTTATTTGAAAAATAAGAGGTTTTTGATTGTGCTGGACGATGTATGGGATACGAAGGTCTGGAACGAACTCAAACAGTTCCTTCCGAACGACAAAAACGGAAGTCGAATCATCTTGACTACTAGGCTGGTAGACGTGGCCCTCCACGCCAGCTCATCCTGCGGGAGTATTCTCCGAATCCCGTTTCTTGATGATGATGAAAGCTGGAAACTACTTCGCGAGACGATATTTAATACGGAAAAATATGTTCTTGATTCCCATCTCGAGAAAATCGGGAAGAAGATTGCCAAGAACTGCGAAGGGCTTCCTCTGGCAATCATTACCATCGGCAAACTCCTGTCGGAGACAGAGAAGACAGTTGAAAACTGGACAAAATTTGCGGAAAATGAAAATTCACTCATCATCAGAATGGATGACGACACCCCCATCTCAAGGTCGGTGTCTCTGAGTTATAAGCAGTTGCCTCAACATTTAAAGGCACCCTTTCTATACATCGGAGTATTCCCGAAAGATTATGTGATCTCTATCTCCAAACTCATTAGACTATGGGTTGTTGAGGGACTCGTCGAATCAGGGGATAAAAGCTTCGAAGAAGTGGCGCAGGAGTATTTGGAAGAACTCGTTTCCAAAAGTGTTGTATTGGTCCAAGAGCGAAGCTCCAAATCTGAGAAAATGAAAACATGTAGAATCCACTTTGTGTTTCGAAATCTATGCGTTAACGAAGCCCACAGTGAAAAGTTTTTTCATGTGATAAGGAAATACATCGATAGTTTTCCGGAATGCATAAATAGACAGAGGCGGTTGTGCATGCACAACAACGTCGTACTCGGTTTCGAACAAGTGCGTAGCTGGATGGAAGAATCGGTTCCCTGCGCACGTTCTCTGCTCTGTTACGGTCCAAAGCAACAATATCCGGTGGTGTCGTACTTTGGTTTCCGATTGCTCAAGGTACTAGATGCTGTTTCGATTCGGTTTTACGAGTTCCCACATCAAGTGGTGGAGCTAGTTCACTTGAGGTACCTTGCCATCACGTATTATGGAGAGATCCCTTCTTCCGTTTCACGTCTTTCGAACCTCGAAGTCTTGATCATCCATTGGCATCATAGGGTAATCAAATCGTCGAATTTTCCGGTTTATTTGCCTGTAGAGATTTGGAAGCTGCATAAACTCAAACACCTGGAGTGCATGGGATTTGACCTGCCAGATCCTTCACCTGCAAACGATGATTCTCTTATCTTAGAGAAACTTTTAACACTTTCAGGCGTCGGAGCTCATAGCTGTACGGAAAGAGTTCTTATTAGAATCCCTAACCTAATCAAATTAGGAATCAGGATTGATTCATCACTAGATGAGAAATTCAATTTCCTCGGTGAGTTCGCATCTTGCTACGACGAATTCGACTCGTTCAAATGCATTGTTGTAGACGATCCTGGCATTAGATCTCGTTTCGTTTCTTCTCCGGTACTGAATTTTCCGGCGAACATTAGGAAGATAAGTTTGAGCGGATGTGGATTTCAATGGAGGAGTATGGGAGTGATCGGAGAATTGCCGAATCTAGAGGTGCTTAAACTCCGATGGTGTGCGTTCTCCGGCGCGGAGTGGGAAATTGCCGGCGGCGAGGGGGAACTGTTTCCGAGGCTGAAATTTCTGCTGATGGAGGACTTGGATGTAGAGGTATGGGAAACCAACTCCGGCGGCGGTTTCCGGCGGCTCTCGCGACTGGTAATCAGGCACTGCTACAAGCTGAAGGAGATCCCCCGTGGAATTGCGGATTCGGCGGCGCTTGAAGTTATTGAGGTGGATGATTGCAGCTCGTCGCTCGCGAATTCGGCTCGAGGAATTTACATGGCGAAACATGATTGGGTGAACGATCATGTCAAAATTAGGGTTCGCTCTTCGTGGGAGGATAACAAAATCAAATCATAAAAAATTGAAGACAATATTATTTGATTTGGTTGGGGAAATAGTCATAGCATCAATATTATTTGTTGTGAAAAGCCGATAAGAATGTCAACCTCCATTGATCCAATCAGTTCACCACCAGATCCACCACCTCCTCCACCACCACCGCCGCCACCAGGTCCACCACCTCCTCCTCCACCACCTCCACTTCCTATCAATTCTCCACCACCACCTCCTCGTCCAATCTATTCGCCACCGCCACCACCTCGTCGTCATATCTATTCACCACCGCCACCGCCACCTCGTCGTCATATCTATTCACCACCGCCACCACCACCACTTCCTATCAATTCACCACCACCATCTCGTCGTCATGTCAATTCACCACCGCCACCGCCACCACTTCCTATCAATTCACCACCACCACCACCACCTCCTCCTATCTCAACCGAAGTTCGAAGTCTTTCCTCGGTCGCTAATACGGGTGGCGGCTCCCGTGGTTCTACATCATACAAGCCGAAAACACGAGTGGTAATTGCATTCCGATGAAAAAGATTTACACTATTTTTAAGAATCTCAGTCTCCTTTTGATCTTCAAAATTTTCTATTGTTATTGACTTATTGTATATTTGTTTCTTATGACCTCTATTTGGTAATTCTCTTTTGTCAGGTTGATTGGTATAGAGAATTCATCGGTGAAATCGTGCTGTCAAAAGTTCAGATTCCCCTCCCGGAATTCATCGTAAGTTCTATACTTTCGTCCTCGGGCATATAGATTTTATCCATCAATTTTCGTAACGAAAAACTCAAACAACGTTGAACGAAATCGTCTAATTCTAATTTAATAATTCTCTTAAGCAGGATGTTGGTGGAAGGCTAATAACTATTTACAAAGGCATTCCAGAAGGATTAAGAGCTGAACGCCACCCTCGAGTGTACGCTGCAGCTAGTCCCAGAAGAATATATATCGGTAACTTGCCATTGAGTGTCGATGGCTTACGTCTCGAGGAGGTTTTCGGCGAGTATGGTAAAGTTTTGAGTGCTCGAGTAGTCTGTGACTGGGAGAGTGGAAGATCGCTCGGTTTCGGCTTTGTGGAGATGTCGACTGAATCTCAAGTAAATGATGCCATTGCAAAACTTGACGGAAAGGTATAAAACTGCATTTGATGCTTTAAGATTTTTTTATTATTTTTTGAAATAAATGCTATATACAATGGAGAAGTTATTACTAGTTATTGAAATGTTGCAGAGTTTTGATGGGAGAGCAATCAGAGTAAATGTTACTGAAGAAAGACCATGGCTTGGCAATTTTAGATTTGGTTAAGGCACAACAACTCAAGGCATATTCTTCAGTCCGAGTTTCCCCTGTAATCTCTTCAAGGTATTCGACGTCAACGGGCCGTGTGGGCCCGAGAGAGGAACAACGGGATTTTCGTTAGTTTATTCAAGTTCCATTTTCTTGAAAAAATCTGTCAATATCTCAAATGTGTAAATAACAAGACCAAATAATAAAAGATTGCCTGATGTGTTGTTAGGAAGAACAAGTCTTAAATGGACAAACTTATTGGCCTCAACAACCTGACAAATAAAATAAAATATGACATAAATTATGTCACCAATTTGTAATTGTCAGGCTGCGAATAGTTGTTACTATCATATTAAATCACAAGAGATTCTTGGTCACAAGCTATTGTCACGACACGGCTGCAAGTCGTTGTTTTCCGGAAAGAGCCAAAATGTTGAACAAAAACAATTCATCCGAAGAAAACACAGCCCCATGAACTGCAAAATGTACTATCTTTTTGTAAACGTTATCGAATTTTGAGGGAGAGAGAGAGAGAGAGTTGAAAATGGCTTTTGCTGCTGTAGTTTCCCTTAAGCAAACAATCGAGCGCATCCTTTTGCTTCCTCCCGGATCCAAGATTCTTCTTCCCAACACAGAAATGAAACTTATCTCCGATGAGCTTTGTTACTTGCAATCATTTCTCGAAGCAATCAGTCCTCCACAAAGCAGCAGCAGCAAGAGCGTGGAAGCTTTCGAGAGACAAATCAAAGACGTGGTGCATAAACTCGAAGATCTCATCGACTTCCATATATCAGATAAGTTTCTTTCGGGATCCGGAAGCGCTGCAGATGACGGTTTGACTTTCGTCTTTTCTCAGCAACTACTCGAGTTCAGACAAGAAGTTAGTTCATTCACCAAAATATTGAAGACAAAGGAAGAGTGCGACATTAACAGACAAAACCAACAACAGAGCGATTCTTCTGCTTCAGAAACCACCCTATCAAGAATTGATTATGGTGGGAATAAGAAAAAGATCGTGGGATTGGGTAAGGAACTGAGGAAACTAAGACATTGGGTTTTGTCGAACACATACGGACGTTGCTCTACGATGTTAGTTGTCGGTATGGCTGGCATCGGTAAGACTATTGTGGTCAAACAAGTTTACGACGATCCAGAAGTCAAGGTTCATTTTGATCGATGTTTATATGTGACGCTCGGCCCCCATTATCAATTGAAAGAAACTCTGCTACTTCTGCTCGATCAACTCAAAGCTGATAATGAAGATCTTCGTGAAGATTCTAGTGAAGATTCTTTATCCAAGCTTGTATACCAGATTTTACTCGGTAAGAGGTATCTCGTAGTGTTAGATGACGTATGGAATACACACATCAGGGAAGAATTCAAACACTATCTTCCAGATGAGGTGAACCAAAGCCGTATCATCATTACATCTAGGATGCGAGACTTCGATGAACTATCTATGGAGATACCATTGTTGAATAATGTTGAAAGTTGGAATCTACTTCGAGATTTAGTATTCACTACTACTGGAGGGTCGTGCAGTCCTCAACTTGAGAAGATCGGTAAGGAGATTGCCAAGAAATGCGAAGGGCTCCCTCTGGCAATTATCGAGGTCGGAAAGCTCCTGCGTAAGAAAGAGAAGACGGTCGAGGAATGGCAATTCATAGCAGACAAAGAAGATCCACTCACCATCAAATCAGATGACAACACACCCCTCTCAAATGCGCTACTTTTGAGTTACACGATGCTGCCCCAATACCTAAAGGTATGCTTTCTGTATATGAGTGTCTTCCCAAAAGGATACGAGATTTCTCGCTCGAAGCTCACCAAATTGTTGGTTGCCGAGGGCATTCTTGAACCACAAAAGAACAAAAACTTGGAAGAAACAGCCGATGAGTGCTTGAACGAACTTATTTCTCATAGTGTTGTTATGAAGAAGAAGCAGAGGTCTAGAGGTAAACGGACAACTAAAACATGCAAACTGCATTTCACTTTTCGGAATCTGTGCGTTAATGAAGCCAAGAGTGAGAACTTTTTCCACGTCATAAACAAGTACCCCGACAGTTTTCCAGAGGGTATAGATAGCCAGCGGAGGTTGTGCGCACACAACAACATTGTACTTGGTTTCGAACAAGCCCATATCTGGATGGAATCAGTTTCGGGCGCGCGTTCTCTTCTTTGTTACGGTCCAAAGCAACAATATCCAATAAGGTTGTACTTGCCTTTTCGATTGCTCAAGGTACTAGACGCCGTTTTGATGCGGTTTTACGAATTCCCACATCAAGTAGTAGAACTATTTCATTTGAGGTACTTGGCAGTAACATCCAATGGAGAGATACCTTCTTCCATATCACGTCTTTCGAATCTCGAAATCTTGATTATCCATCAGCATCATAGGGTTATCAAATCGTCGAATTCTCCTGTTTATTTGCCTGTAGAGATTTGGAAGCTGCATAAACTCAAACACCTGGTGTGCATGGGATTCGACCTGCCAGATCCTTCTCCTGCAAACGACGATTCTCTTATCCTCGAGAAGCTTTTAACAATTTCAGGTGTTGGCGCTCATAGCTGCACCAAAAGAGTTCTTACACGAATCCCTAACCTAACGAAGTTAGGGATTCGGATCGAGACAAAAGACGACGATGAAACCGCCGCCGTTGAAGCCCTGAGTTTTCTCGGCGGCGGCGACCGTTTCGCCTCCGTCTACGAAGAATTCGAGTCGTTCAAATGCGTCGTCATAAACCCTAGCCTCGTAAGGTGTCAGATTGTTCCGAATTTTCCGGCGAACATCAGTAAGATAAGTTTGAGCGGATGCGGATTCCCATGGGAGAACATGAGAGCGATCGCAGAACTGCCGAATCTCCGAGTGCTGAAACTCCGGTGGTGCGCATTCTCCGGCCCGGAGTGGGAAATGAGGCGCGAAAATCGGTACGCGCTATTCAACGGTCTGGAATTCCTGCTGATGGAAGATTTAGATATACAGCAATGGAGAGTGGAATCTTACCAGTTCCCGAACATGAACAGGTTGATCATACGGCACTGCTACAAATTGACGGCGATCCCCATTTTTGGGCTTCACTACTCGCTGAAAATTGAGGTGGATGGTTGCTCCCCATTGGTCACTCAGCAGTTAATATCTGAGCAGAAGCTCAACAGCCGATGGGTTTATTTTGGTCTTCGGGTCAAGTTTTCAGGTGATGGTGATGGTGATGATGACGATGGTGATGAGAAACCCTAATCCTGAATCAAATTTTAGCTTTTACTTTTCACCCCTCAAGTTTGGATCTATTTTCATATTTGGGCCCACTATGTTTACAAAAAAATATATTTGGTCCCTCACGTTTCAATAGTTTAACCCTTTTGGTTGTTTCCGTCAATTGACCGTTAGTATGTCAGTTAATTCATTGATGTGCACAGGCTTGTTCCGTTAGGTTTAACTGAAAATTGACGGAAATGACTAAAAATGTTGAATGTTTGAAACATGAGGGATCAAATGTGTTTTTTTTGTGAACATAGAAGACAAAATATGAAATTGGTGCAAACTTGAGGGGCGAAAATTGTATTTTTCCCGATCTTTAATTTATGACTAAATGATTAATTATGCATTGTCCCCAAACTTTATTATTTTGAGCACCAATTGTGATCGCCAAATCCTCGCCGGAATTGTGCACCGATCACGTTTTTTAGCAAGGGTAAAATCGTCAAATCACCTTCTTTTTACCTGCCATTGTGAATCGTCATTTTCTTTTTGTTGAGAAATTCGAATCTTGTTACAAATTGGGGAAATCGGGGAGGGGGACATGATTCGAACCCTAGACCTCTACTCTAATAGTAGGAGTTTTCGCAATAGAAAGATTTGAGGTAAAATACCTTCTATTTCGGCAGAAACTCCACATAAATTCAAATTTCGGAAAACATTTATGATTAATAATATGTTCCGCGTGTTTCTCGAGAAAGAAAGAAGGAAAAAAAAACACCCTACTAAAACACGTGGGAATGGAACACACACAATTTCGACGAGAATTTTGCAAAAAATAGCCCATTTCGTGATCGGTGCTCCAAATTTCGTGATCGGCGTTCCAAGTGAAGTCGTCTTCTTTCTTGTCGACCTTGTAACAACTTGTTTTTCACTTGAACATGCTGCAAATAGTCCACATACCCTCTCTTCTGCTGATTTTTTTTTACATCAAAAAATATGTAATTCTATTTTTAAAAAGGTGGTCGTTATGCTTATCTTTTATAACACGTGTCTTAATACACAATTTCGATCTCCGTAAAGCTTCTGCTTTCGTCGTTTCGAAGGTTGAAAGTCAACAGTCCATCCTCACAACTGTAAGTGAAGTCCTCTTCTTTATTGTCTACCTTACAACAACTCGGTTTCTCACTCGAATAAGCTCCGAACACTCCACACCCTCTCGCCTTGATTTTTATTACATCCTCGTACGTACAGTCTTCAACCGCTCCTCCCGAGTTGTACATTTTTATCAGCCCGATAGGCGCAAAACGTACGTTCTCCTTCAATATCTGTTCACAATCATTATAATATATCCCCATTAGTCCTAAACAACAAGAATTAAACAATGACAAAAAAATTCGTCGAGTTTTCGCGCGTACTTTTATCGGGGAAACGGTGAATATTTCGCACTCTAACACGCCTAACGACACTTCAATAGTTTTGTTCTTCGGTACTCTGAAAAGGGATCCTGCATCGTCAAACGGTAAAGAAAAACATAAATTTTATTAGACCAATTACCTTAGAAAATAATTATAAAAAAAATGCAAGAAATGAAATAAGACAGACCTTTGTTAAATGCATATAAAGCACATTCTTCGGTCCAAGTTTCCCCTGCGATCTCGTCAAGGTATTCGACATCAGTGGGGCCCACACCGCCCGAGAGGGGAATGTTTGACTTTTGGGTTGACTCTTGTGCTTGCTTCATCAGCCAAGTGCCCGCGCCTTGGCAGTTGAAAACTCCCACTACTCCTGTTAGCTTATTCAAGTTCCATATCTTGAGCAAGCTGTCGATAATTAATATTGTCGAAAAAATAACGAAATCAGTTACTATCTATTAATAAACAACAAAAAAAAAGGTTATTCGTTATTTGAAGTAGAGATAATATATTATATATACCTCTTTCCATCCATGACAGGATCGATAAACAGGCAATCGCGTGTAGGACGTCCTGCGTATCTAGCCCTTAATATCGATCCATCGGCTAGAACTAGTTTCTTGAGAATTTCGAAATCTTGTTTTCCCGGTTTGTCACTGTTAAATCGGAAAAAAAAATTACATTGATCATGAGTAATGAAAAAAACAATGTCTTGTCTGAGATTTTGAATTAGTACGAAGATTCAACGGATACGTTTTCGTTTTCATTTCTTTTTTACCTTACGTAGACGGGACATCCACCCAACGCTCTTGCTGCTCCATGAAACTCGGCAGTTGCATGGTTGCTCTATTATTCAAGAAAGTACACAATTTAGTATATATTTTATTGTACTTTAGTTAGAAATTTAGTTTTTATGACATATACAGTTAAATCTCTATGAATTAATTATCAAAAAAAAAACCTCTATAAATTAATACAGTTGGGACTAGGGAAAATTTATTAATTTAGTGAATTATTAAATTATCGAGTTAATAATTTAACACGTCTTCACCGAGTCAGGACCGAGAGAAACTGTTATTTAATCGAGGTTATTAATTTATTGATTATTAATTTATCGAGGTTCTACTGATATATATATAGTATATATACTCACATGAAACATATCCCAGTCTGGTACAACAACTTCACCTAAGAGAAGACTATTGAACGACACCGAAGCTATATGCAACGTCTGAAAACTCGGCTCGTTCGGCATGAAATCTTCCGATGCTCTTGCAGTTGCACTCTTCTTCGAGCTTAAAAAAAAAACGATGAATTATTACAAGACTCGGATATATAAATTATAGACTTTCGAAAAAAGGGACGTCGTTAGTTTAATTTAATTTAATTTTTTTTACGTGAAAATCGAGTCGGAATTATGAGACATGCAGCAAATCAAGTTATTGTCGACGAAGTTCTTTTCTATAGACTCGTCTAAAGCTTCGTGGTATTGTTTCGTAATCGAGACTCTTCCGCCATATCCGGCCCCCAAAGTTTCTAGAAGGTTCTGGACGTCAACCTTAACGCCGTCGACGCCGCAGTCGGCAAGATAGCTATGCATGTCGTTGTAAAAATCGCGGATTTTTGTAGGGTCGATTAATCCAACTCCGTATTTTTCCAAGCTGTCCATTGCTATATCTCGTATGTTTCCGATCTTGCCAGGCGATTGAACGGGATACTCGAGTTTCGGGTTGTATTTCTTGAGGTTTTCCGATGATGTAAGAACTCCGCCCCAGTAACCGGCTAATGCATGCCACATATAAACATATCTGCATTAAAATAAATAAATAAAAATTGATGATTTAGAAATTAATTGAGTTCAAGAAATGTTTTATGTGTGACATTAATAGATCTTACTTTAGGCCATAATTTTGTTTGATGTCATGGATAAGATCTTTGAGATTCGAGCAAGAACCGTTCGATTCTTCGGAAACCTTAAACTTGCTGTTTTCCTTAATATCTGCCAATCTGGTTGCGAATCTGTACCGAGACGAGGCATTATTAATTAATCAGTGATTCGTATAGTAAAATTAGTAATTAAATGGTGAGATACAGTCAAATCTCTATAAATTAATACAGTCGGGACTAGAAAAATTCTATTAATTTAGCGAAATATTAAATCGTCGAACTAATAATTTAATACGTTTTTACCAAGTCCGGACCAGAAGAAATTATTATTTAAACAAGACTTACTGTGTTCCTTCTATTAATGGTTGGCCTTCTTTCCGAAATTCGTTGACCGTTGATTGCCATCCGTCGTCTATGATCAAGAATTTCGGAGAAATTCCACCTTCTTTAAAACTGTACGAAATACGATTTTTTTTTTATTTTTTTTTGTCATATATTAGAAAGATGTGAAAAATTTGTTTTAGTTTAATTTTAATTTGCAATTAATTACCTTTGAAGACCTTGTTTGATTCCAGTTGGAGTAACATCAGTGTAAAAAGCATCCCAAGTGCACCATCCAAACCAGTCTAAGTGTGCAGGAATCTATTATATAAATTAGCACCATATGTTTAGTGTCAAATTTCAATATTTGAACACATTAAAATAAAATAAAATTATATATATATATTTGTGTGTGTGTGTGTGGATCAAGTCTGAACTACTACCTTCTTGTTTTCCAGGTGACTAAATGTACCCTTATGTTTGGCCAATATCCTGCAGAAAGAAAAAAATTGAAGAATCAAAATCTGACGTATGTTTTAGGGTAAATTACGGCCACTTCCCTGAGGTAAGTTTAAATTACGAAAAGAACTACTTATGTTTAGGTAATTACAACCACCTCCCTCAACTATGAATTTTCTTACATGTTCACTCTTATGGTGTCAAATATTCTCTAGTTTGTACTCGTTCTGTGCAAAAAGACAGTTTTGTGCAACACAATCTGATATTTACAGGCCAAAATACACATCTTATGATCATCTTGTATCAAAATATGGAGCTCGAATGGGATAAAATCATAAAACAGGTACAAACTGAGGAATATTCCACATAATCTACAAGATTCCACTAAATTTGGCACCGCAAGAGTGGACGTGTAAGAAGATTCATACTTGAGGGCTGATTGTAATTACCCAAACATGAGGGGGTTTTTTGTAATTTGACCTTACCCCAGGGAATGACCGTAAAACATATATCTCTGAAAGAAAAAAAACATACTTTATTGAATCCTTGAGGAGATCAAAAGGGTTGTCTCCTGAATTAACAAAAACTCCTTCCAATGCTTGACAAGTTTGTACTTGAGGATCACCTTAAACGAAAAACACAGACACAATAATCGAAAGAATCGGAAAAAAAAAATGTCGAAACAGAGCAATTATTTGAATTAATTAAGGTTGTCTAAGTTGAAAACCAACCACTTTCATAGCAGAATTGGAGCTCATTTGATTCATTCCCTTGAAGAGTTGTCCTAAAAGCTCCATCGAGAACGGGCAAAACAAGAACGTAAAATTTATTTACGTTCGATTTTTCTTCATTTACTAAATTCGAAACAGAATCTTCTTCTGCTTCAATCAGAAGCATCTGCGTCTCCAAAGGAATATCGCTACCCGATTTTCCAATACGCGGGATCATCCACCATATCTTTGCTACGAATAGACACACGAACTTGCGATTTCTACAAACAATCACAAATTAAAATATTTAAAAAAAATGGAAATAGTATATAGCATCTATGTTTAAGACAACATGTAATATATATGTACTTACTCAAGAACTCCAAAATTGAATATGTGTCGAGAATCCGAGTTCGTCGAATCGGCTCCAATGAAAGCTGATTTTGAACCTGATGGAGAGATGAACACATTGTCCGGAACTTGTGTTAGGACAACATTGCCCCTAACAATGAGGCAACCATTCTTGATCACCGGCGCGGCTGTGATCGTCATTTTTTCTTTTTTTCGATCGCCTAATAACCCCTTTTCGGAACTTTAATTAATTACCAGATTGAATTGAATTATATATTGGAAGATCAAGAGAATCCTGATAATTAAGTTATAAACAAGAAGATTTAAGTAAGCATAGAGAAATCAAGAAAAGGCAACATGTAATAAAATAAAAGGTGATGGAGTAATGATTTAGAATTGGCTTTTTATATCTAAATGGGGACAGAATAAAATCTAAAAGACCCTTTAGGAGACAATAACATGCTATCTGCAGCTATGAATAGTGTTTATTTATTTAATTATTATTTTTATTATTTAGTTATTTATTTTTTTGATTGTTAATGAAGCATGATTTGGATGAATATTAGTGGGAAATAAAAGATATGATAGTGGACCAATCAAAGCAATGTGACATGGAAATGAGTCATCGTTTGTTGACATTAATGATTCATAATAAAACTAATAAATATGATGGATCATATGGGGACAAAAAATAAACTTATAAAATGACTAAAATACCCCTCGTCAATTGATTCACCGCTATGTAGCACGGACACGGAAACGACGATACGGGAAAACGACGACATGTCCCGAAAAGGGGATACGAGAACTTGGGGGAAACTTGTAAATATTAAAAGTATATGGATATATTTATAAATATGTTAAATAAACATGTATAAGTTTTTATTTATATATATATATATATATATAATTTTTTTTATAAATATTTTGATATAAATATATTCAAAATAAATATTATTATCAATTTGAAACTGATCATTAAATCATGCAAATAATTAGGAAATCAACAAAAATATTACTTTGTTATTCAAACATGTTTCTAACTTTTTAAAAGTTACAAAATAACACATTAAGATGTCCGGCAGGTATCCTCGAGTTTCGGACACGAAACGTGTCTAAAACATTTATATGTTAAGAAGTTGAAATTTTTGTGTTACATGGTTCACCGTAAACTCCCCCTTTCGACTAATTAAGAACCTAAAAGGGTGAAATTGAGAAAAGTATAGTAATGAATCATTGAAATTAAAGAAAAATGGCAAATATTCTTTTGAAAGAATTTTTTTTCCAAAAGGAGAAACAATTTAGCATGAAAGGAGTATTATGCAATATTGTATAAGTTCAGCATATAGAGTATAAGTTCATTGTATTGAGAATATTTTAATATAATTGGTCACATTTGATCATGACATTACTGTTGCTTAGTTGTCAATAATCCATTATGAAAAAAGAAAAAGAAAAAAAAAAAAAGATATTATTGAAGTTAACTTAAGTTGACCAACCACCATATATGAGTTGGTTCTTAACTGACAGCACGTGCTGACGCACGTGCCTTCGTATCCAATATCTTAATTTTTTTTTTCTTTTAAAACAGAAAATATTTCGTTATTTATCAATTGGAGTGATCTTAATTATTTTGGACTACTCAATTATTTCAATTTATTATAACTTATCTTTGTCAACTAGATATGTTCTACAAATCATGCATCGGTCGCAACATTTTTCATTCGTACTTTTGGTCCAATATTCCAAGGCAAAGAATTTGAAAACTTGCAAGTTGCAACTCGTGCGGCGACGTGCGACAAATGATAACTGCAGTTAAACCACTATAACTTAATATAATTGGGACTAACAAATTTTTTTATAGTTGTTGGAACTTGACCGGACCAGACGGTCTGCCTGGGAACCGGCACAATACAATGAAACTGGGTTTGATAAAAATATTAAATTATCGAACTAAAAATTTATGATGTTTTTATCTAGTCGGAATCGAAATAAATTATTATTTAAATGAATTATTAATTTATCAAATGTTAATTTATCGAGTTTCTACTGTACCATCTTTCAGTCATCGTATTCGAAAAGAACACGTTTTGTTGCCGACAAACCTTTGGTAATTATATTCCTAAAGAATATTTGTTCAATTGTAAGATTATCATTTGCAATTTGTTAAAACTAGCACGAACATAATTCCAACTATAAACCAAGCAATCAAATAAGACCAACAATCACAATTTTCATTATTTATTTATGGGTAAATTACAAACACCCCCCTGAGATATGTTTAATTTACAAAAAAACTCCTCTTGTTTGGATAATTACATCTACCCCTCAACTATGATTTTTTCTTACATCTCCCCCTTATGGTGTCAAATTCAACATAATCATCTAGATTTCGTGGAATGTGCTCTAGTTTGTACTCGTTTTGTGTAAAAATACAGTTTATGATGCACCACAATCTGATATATACAAGCCCAAAAACACATATTATGATCATCTTGTTTCAAAATGTGGAGTTCGAATGGGATAAAACGAGTACAAAAGTGATAATATATCATATAATCTCGAAGATTCCATTAAATTTACCCAAAAAAGAGGGAGATTTTTGTAATTTAACCATACCTCATGGGTGGTTGTAATTTACCCTTTATTTATTTATGTATTCCTTTATTATTTTCGTTTTTACATATACAAACGTATGTGGAACTCACACCCGATGAAATACACCATGTAGTTGTACACAATCGATCTACATATAGTAACACACACACCCATATGTGTATGTGTGCTTAGTGGACATTTATTTATGTAGATCTACGGTTTAAAACCACATGGTGTATTTCACCAGGTGTAGTGTCTCATAAGCCCGTATAACTTGTGGTGATAAATGGATCCCTATGAAGAAAATTTCGAGCAAAAATTCAAATCCAATAAAATCGAAACTAATAGTGGATATTAATATCCCAATTCTTGCATTCACCATCAAGTTTAATTACCAGAAACCCGTTGTCCGAATCGTATGTGAACGCTTGTCTCTCTTCATCGACTGTACAATAAATCGGTTTCTTACTCGAGTAGGCTCCGAAACGGCCACAGCCCCGTGCCTTTACTCTTATATTGCATCCCGACGGCTCGGTTGTGAAACTTAAACCCTCAATTGCACCACCAGAGTTGTACATTTCGATCAGCCCAATCGGAGCAAATTCAATCGTTTCATTTACAACCTGTTCATGTGATTTGAGTAACAATTTAATCAATTAAATTTACAACTAAAAGCTATATTATAAACAAAAATTCAATAAAATATGAACAAAACGAAATTATTGCAAATCGTCAAAATTAACAACTTTGACGAACAAAGTAAAAAAAAGAAAAAAAAATTAAATAAGGAAATAAGGATAGATAAGATGACTCGTTTTTACTTACCCTTATCGGGGAAATCGTAAATATTTCACATTCGAGAGTGGCTATAGACACTTGGACACTTTCCTCTTTCGACAGTCGAGAAAGGGATCCTACACCATGATAAACGCCAAACGAATATTTTCAAAAAAATACGGGAAATTTGAACTTTTTATAAGCTGAGTCATCAGTTTATAATTAGTAAGTTAAATAGTTGTACCAGTATGAAAAGCATAGACAGCACAATTCCCTGTCCAACTCTCGTCAGCTACTTCTCGAAGAAAATCGATGTCTTGAGAACTCACGCAGCCCGATAAAACTAGAGACGATGAATTAGGGTTTTTTTCCGGTCCACTTCTCATTGGCCAAATTCCAGCTCCTTGGCAGTTAAAAACACCGATAATTCCAGAATAGTTATTCAAGTTCCAAATTTTCAATAAGCTGCAAAAATCACTTTTAGTTAGCTTATAGACTTCTAATACAAACTTCGATTTTATTAATATCCGATTTTTCCTTTTTTTTTTTTAAATTATTTCACCTTTTCCCATCCATAACCGTGTCTGCAAATAAGCAATCACGTGTAGGTCGTCCGGCGTATTTAGCTCTTAATATCGAGCCATCGGGCAATACCAGTTTCTTGAGTATTTCGAAATTATGCATCCCCGGCTTGTCACTGTAGTATTAACCGAAAATTCACGAAATTATTAAAAAAAAAAAAGAAAAAAGAAAAAGAAAAGGGAGTAAATTTTCAGCATCTTATTACAAGTAAAGTTCACCTCACGTAAACTGCACATCCACCGACTGCTCGTGCTGCCCCATGGAATTCTGCCGTGTGATGATGGCTCTGAAAATTAGGATCACATTTTGAAATATGTTACAAAAATATGCAAAAATTGCAATTTCATAACGATAGATTCAGTAACATAGAATCTGCCTCATCTAATTGTACTTCATGTAATTTTTTCGCTATATATAATCATCTTCAATTTTGATTTAGAATGTGGCCCGTGATTAGGGGTGGAAATCGAACAAATTAGATCGGAATTAGCACTCTTGGAGAAAAATATTTTTTTTCGGAAATTAAAAACTAATTCAAATTTTTTTTCCAAAGAAATCGGAAATTTCATAAACTGGAATGAAAAAACTATAATACAAAATAAATAATAATATTGATATAATAAGTATAATTTTCGGGGGGGAAAAGGTATAAATTTTGGGAAATTAGAATCGGACCGGAAATTGGAATCTAATATGTATTTCAATTCCGTTCAAAAAAAAAAAACAGAAAAATTGGATATCGGAATGAAAAATATTGTTCAAAAATCGGAAATTTCCGGAACTCAATCAGCGGAATTTCCAAAAACATACCTGGAACATGTCCCAATCGGGGACAACAATCTCCCCAAGTAAAAGGCTATTAAACGCCACGGAAGCAACGTGCAATGTCTGAAACATAGGTTCCCACGGCATAAAATCCTCCGACGCTCTCGCACTAGCACTTTTCCTCGAACTAGCAAAATTTAATCAGTCAATAAAAAAAAAATACTAAATCAAAATCGGCAGATAAAATCAAGAAGTGCTAGTTCCGAAACAACCTGTATATAGAGTCCGTGTTATGACTCATACACGAAATAAGATTATTCCCTTCGAAATTCCTTTCGACGGAATCTTCCAATGCTTCTTGATATTTTCCGGTGAGGGAGACCCTACCGCCATACCCTGCGCCCAACGTCTCGATCAGATTCTGAACATCTACTTTCACTCCGTCAACGCCGCATCTCGAAAGGTAACTATGAAGATCGTTATAAAATTCGTAAATTTTTTTAGGGTCTATTAGACCAACTCCGTATTTCTCTAAACTGTCCATTGCTATATCTCGATAGTTTCCAATATTGCCGGGAGATTGTACCGGATATTCGATCTTCGGATTGTACTCGTTCAATTTTTCGGATGATGGTGAAAGCCCTCCCCAGTATCCAGCCAATGCATGCCAAACGTACACGTATCTAAAAACCATACAGTTTCTTGCAATTACAATTTGTTTTTCGGAAGTGGTAAAACTAATTCCAATTCCGTTCCAAAACGATCCGAAAAATCAGAATTCGAAAATTCCAATTTTTTGGTCACATTTAATACAAAATAAATAATAATATTGATATTATAAGTGTCATTTAGGAAAAAGGTCGAAATTCTCGGCAATTAAATTCGGTTTGGACATCGGAATCTTATATGTATTCCAATTCCAGTCCAAAAAAAATTCGGAATTCGGAAATTGGAATGTAAAAACTTGTTTCGAAATCAGATATTTTTTGGATTGAAATCAGCGGAATTCGAAAATTCCAATTTTTTGGTCACATTTAATACAAAATAAATAATAATATTGATATTATAAGTGTCATTTTCGGAAAAAGGTCAAAATTTTCGGAAATTAAATTCGGTTCGGACATCGGAATCTTATATGTATTCCAATTCCATTCCAAAAAAAAAAAAAAACAATCGGAAAATTCTGAAATCGGAACTTTTGGATTGGAATTTGGGATTCCCGATCCAATTTCCGTCCCTACTCAAAATTAACGAACTTCAATACGAGAACATACTTCATGCCGTATTTTTCTTTGATGAATTTGACGAAATCACGCAGATCATTGCATGCAGTGTCGTCTACAGCTGACTCCATGAACTTGGAACATTCCTTGAGATCAACTAATCTACTCGCAAATCTACAATTCCGAAAAAAAAAATTATACAACGAAAATAATATAAAACATTTAATTATTGCTATAAGGAGCTAGGTGCGATTTAAAATCAAGAATTACTTACTGTGATCCTTCAATAAAAGGTTCTCCTTCCTTCTGGAACTCGTTAAATGTATCCTGCCACCCATCGTCGATAATCAAGAATTTGGGTGGACACCCTCCTTCAAGAAAACTGTCGGCGATAAAAATTGTTTATTGAAATGAACTTATAAAAGTGATTAAATTAATTTCTAGTATAATACCTTTCGAGACCTTCTTTAATGCCTCGTACATTAACATCTTTATAGAAAGCATCCCATGTACACCAACCGAACCAATCCAAATGTGCTGGTTTCTATGCATCAAATTTGTTCGATTTAAATCGGATCCGGAAATCATAAAAAACGAGAAAATAAATTCATTAAAAATTGTACCTTTTTGTGGTTAATATGAGCGAAGGTGCCTTTGTGCCGCTCAAGTATCCTGCAAACGAAAATTCATTAGATATCAAATAGAAAAAAAAATTCACATAAATCACTAATTGAATAAATACATAAAAATAGATTGCCTTTACTTGATAGAATCATTTATGAGCTCAAACGGGTTATTCCCTGAATTTACGAAAACGGCTTCCGATACTTGACTCGTTTGGGTATTAACATCTCCTGCAGAATGGAATGAAACACCACTAATACTATTTAGCTCTATTTTTTTTTTCGAAAATATTATTAAAACTAAAAAAAATTGTGGAATGGAAAATCGAGATAGCAATAAACTTACCACTTTCAACACAGAACTCGAGTTCATTTGCAGAAGTACCTTGCAACGTTGCCCTAAATGCCCCTTCCAATACTGGCAATAACAGAACGTATGAAGTGTTGTCGAGAGATTCTTCCTTCACTTCCAAGAGCAGCATTTGTGTTTCAATGGGAATATCGCTTCCGAAACTCCCGAATCGGGGTATCATCCACCAAATTTTGTGTCTGAAGAGACACGTAAACTTGCATTCTCTGCAAATATAATATTCACCAAAAATCAAAGAAAAACTCAAACTCGTAAAACTTCAACTTCGAGCCAGACGAACACACTAGTCAAGAAAATCCGGATTTTGTTGCGAAAAAAAAAAGTTCTCATTTTTGCAGCTCAAGATAAAATTGCATTTTCCACAATTAAGTGACGTTTGGTAATAAAATCGTAAATTCGAACTACCGTTTTGTATAATCCTTTCATATTTTTAACTTAATCAAGAAAATTAGGATAATCCCATAAAATAACTTTCCAATGATCCAACCTAAGAATTAAGGATTGTCACCAAAACCCCCCTAAAACATAAATTTTAATTATGATTTTTAAGTTCAAAACATCACAAATTCATGCAAAACCTAGAAATTGGTCGGAGAAAAAAAAAACATACTGAAGAACACCAAGACCAAAAACATGTCTGCAACTACGAACACTGGAGCTGGCGCCAATAAACGCAGCAGACGATGGAGAAGAAGACGAAGAACCATCATTCAGCGGATAAACGACGACGTTTGAGGGGACACGTGTCAGCACCACAACACTCCCATTAACCATAAAGCAACCGTCTTTGATGAATGGCTCAGCTGTCACCGTCATTTTAGCCTCGCCCTTCATTGGGTCAGTTGCAATTGCACATAAATTCTTCGCGCCGATGCTACTTTTGCTGCTGCTGCTACGGTACGATGAAAATGTACGGAGGTTCGAACATCTGAAGGGATTGTGTCTCAAATCGAGAACTGAATTTGGTGAGGGAATTGAAGCAGCGCTACTGAGAAGAGTGTAGGAGGGGTTTCTAAACAGCATACACTTGATGAAATTTCTGCTATTATATATAAAATTAGTCGAATTGAATGCCATTGAAATTGCCATCTGTTTAGAAATCAGAAATTTTTGGGTGAGCAAGAAAAAAAAAAAAAAAAACCAGAATAAATTGGTGAAATTTCTTGGATGGGACAGAATTAATTCTTTTCGAAGGTAAGAAAATGGCCGACTTTTGATCGAATCAGATTCCCTTGTAATAAGTTTATGGGCAAATTATGGCGAGCCCCCCGAAGTAACTTTAAATGACAAAAAGACCCCTTATGTTTGTATAATTATAACCACTCCCCTAACTATGTATTGTCTAATGAAAAAATCCCTCATTTAGTAGGTAAATACATAATTGAGGGGTTATTATAATTACCAGAACATAAAGGGGTTTTTCGTAGTTTGAGCGTACCGTAATTTGTATAATTTTGATGCCACTTATCCACTATTATTCGGCTACTTTATATTTTCCTATATTATGTGAATCCAACTGTATAATTAAAGGGTTCATTTGATATATACCCTTAATATGGAAAATATATAGGGATAGGTCCACCCCTAAAATTCTTCCTTTGAGATAACCCCCTGGAGAGGCAAAAGTACTATTGTGCCCTTATATCCAATTTTTGCCCAACTGCATTCAGTATTTTTGCTATCTGCATTGAGCATTATGGTCAACTGCAATTAACATTTAGACCTGTATTTATCATATTATCAGATTTTTTTAATAAAAAATTAGAAATTATTTTTTTTATTATTTTTTATATATACCTCTATTGTACTTTTAATTTTTTAATTTTTTTAATTTTTTAAAATTGTTTATTTTTTTTAATTTTTTAATTTTTTAATTTTTTTAAATTTTAATTTTTTTAATTTTTAATTTTTAATTTTGTTTCAATTTTTTGATAAATTTACTGATTATATAAAAAAAACTTCATCTACACCAAAAACAAAAATTCACAATTTAAATCTTGATATTATAAATTAATTAATACCCAACAAAAAATTGGAAAAACACAATCATCAATATCACTCTATACATCAGAAAAAACACATAACTTATATAGCTTATATATAACAATATATTACTACGGATCCGCCGGAGGAGAACGGATCTATGAGGTTTGAACATGTCCGACGCCATTTATACGACACTGTTCTTCATCTTCTCCGTTGTTGGATGACATGTGGAAATAGATTAGCACTTTGTTCGTGAAAAAGTGCAGCAAAAGACACTAGATGTTCGATTTATTTCGAGCAAGGATCAACTTGCTGATGGGCTGACGAAGGCTTTGGTGTCAACCAGATTCAGTCATCTCCGATCCAAGCTCAACGTTTGTCATTCCACGATGAGCTTGAAGGGGCGTATTAAGGAAATAGCAGGAAATCAAGTTGATAGCAAGGATTGAGTCAATCAACAATCTGTGATTGAATCAATTCTCACCAAGTTTGGAAAGCATATTTTCATGATTAAAGATTTGCTGAAAATCTGCTATTGTAATAGAATATATCCATATTTACACTTCCTTGTAATTGTATATAAGACTCGTATCATCTCTCACTATAATCATCAATGAAAGAACATTTCTACAATAACTTTTCTATCATCCGTCGAAATCGAAGAGCGGCGCTTGCGAAATCATGCGGATTTGCGAAGGGTGGATCGGCAGCGACGACGGCTGCTTTCCCTTCTCTAAGATGAGATGGTTTGGATTTTTTTTTAAATTGTGTGAAGATGGTTGCGGCGGCGACGACGTGTATGGAGGTGGGCGGCGGTTGTGAACACGGGGTCGGATTCATAAGGGGGGTGTGGTCGGACAATATAAAGGGATTGATTATTGCTTTATGGTCCATCATCTTAATCGGTGCAATTAAGAAAATGGATTTAACAAAGCTAGTGCTTCTGATGTCAGTGTAATAAAATTTTACCTAATTTCTAGATGGTGGAGCAGCTCTTGGAGGCGGCGGGGATGTGGGTGGGGAGAAAATTAGGGTTTATCTGGAGAATCAAATGAGAGAGATCGGGAATGACCTTATTTCCCAAAAACTGCATATTAGTCTATTAAGGGTAAATCAGTCATATCACATGATCTCAGGGGGTCTGACAAATTAAGATCAAAATTTGGGTTTTTGACTAGGATAGAAAAAATCACTGGACCTCCTCATATATATTTTCAAAACTAGGGGTTATCACTCATTTACCCATAATTAAATGAGATTCAGAGTACAAAATTCTTCAAACAAAAAGAAAAAGGATAATTACTTATTTATTTTACAATTTCATGACGATCTAATAACAATTAATTGGGCAATACTAATATTGAATACAATATAATTGTATAATGTTTTTTTTTTCTTTTCCTGAAAATGATATTGACATTAATTCACAATTATCTGATACAGTCATACAACAATACTTGGTTAACTACACTTTCAGATTTGATATCTTCACAAATGAAAAAAATAAAAAATTAAATATGTATATATAGGGAGGGATTTATGAGTCAAAAATGAACAAGATGATGTAACTCAAGTAAGCGTAGTCTCCATAGTCAATCGAGAGCAGCTACAAAAATCGTATATACGACGCAAACAGCATCAAGAAGAGGAGATATCTTTACCAAAGAGTTGAGTTATTCCCACACTAGGATCATCCTGCTTCACAAGTGACTCTCCTACCAGTACCTGTATAGTTAAGCCACAAGAATTTACATGAGAGAGAGAGAGAGAGAGAGAGAGAGAGAGAGAGAGAGAGAGAGAGAGAGAGAGAGAGAGAGAGAGAGAGAGAGAGAGAGAGAGAGTCGGGACTGCTTACCGCATTAACACCAGCTTCCTGAACATATGCAATATCGGCAGGAGTGAAAAGTCCAGACTCTCCGACAACCTGTGGATTTTTTACGAAAACGGGAAACAGTTTATTATTTGATTAAATGAGATGAGGCAAAATTAAATGAATATAATTAGTAGGTTTACTTGGTAAGAGTACTTACAGTAATGCCTTTCTCACGTATCCTTTGTCCGCGTTCACCTTCCAGAAGCTTTTTCGTGTTGGCAATATCAACCTCAAATGTTCCTATATATATAGGCGTTGAGTTTAGCTGAATTAATCGTCTTTTCAACTTAATAAAAATCATATTTAGCTCGTTAATTATGCAATTTCAACTTCATAGGTTACATCACAGGACACAAATCGAAGCAAAATTAATGAATGCAAACGGCTAAAGTGTGAAAAGAAAATTCACTATTTGAAGAAGATTAATGAAATACGTATTTAGCAGACTATATATAACTCAGTGGATTAAAATACCGAGGTCACGGTTATTGATGCCAATAAGTTCAATCCCCTGAATCTCTATAACACGATCCATCTCTCTCTCATCATGTACCTAGAAGATTGAAAGACCCAAAAAAATTGGATGAGGATTAAAAACAGTATATTATTTTTTTTTTATAAACCGAACAGGAATTTACGCAAACACAATCAGTAAATTAAGTACTGATCGAAAAAACATAATATCAAGGAAGTTAATGGCAATAGCAGCAAAAGTCAGACCTCAACGAGTACGGTCAAACCCAGCATTTTGCTAATCTTGAGCATGTATTTGATGTCGAGATCAGGTAAAATAGCAGCAATTAATAGAATTGCATCCGCACCTTTCGCTCGAGCATAGTATATTTGATATGCTTCTATTATAAATTCTTTACACAAGAGTGGGCACTGAGTTCAAACAAATTGCACAACTCAGTTAACATAATAAAGAAAAAAACATAATACCATGGAAAGAATCGTGGAAATATAGCATACCTGTACTCCGGAGTTTCTAATGGCCTCTAAATTTTCGAAGCTTCCCTATTTTACCCCCAGTTCGAAGGAATGAAAAAGCAATCAGATAAACTGCGATAAACAAGTGTAGTAAATTAAAGAAGATATATGGCTGGCGCTTACCTGGAAGTATTTCTCATCGGTTAAAACACTAAGGCATGCTGCTCCACCTTTTTCATATGCTTTAGCAATTTGGACCTGCCAAAAATATCGATAAGATTCATCTTTTCGAGGCGATTAATTAATACGATATAGCATATAAGATTAAATACAAAAAAAAGAAATCACAGACTTACAGGATCAAAATCTTCTCTTAAAACCCCTCTACTAGGAGAAGCCTTTTTCACTTCAGCAATTAAACCCGGAAAACCGGTCCGTAAATTCGCCTCTTTCAAAGATCCAATAAAATCTCGAACCGGTGGAGCATTATCCAGCAGTTTCCTCAGTGAGACGAGCGGTTTCTTCACTTTCATCTATAATCCAAGAACGCAATAACAACACACGTCATTTTCATCAAATAAAAAACTGTCACAACACACAAACAAACCGATTAAGCAAATCAAACAAGAGTACCTGAGCAAGTTCAAGATCCTTATGCCACACAATTTCTTCGAGAATATTACGTGGGGTGTTCCCTTCGTTCTGCAGGCGAAATTCAAACGGACCCACGTAGTGAACTGGCGGTCCGGTTGGCGGCCGCCTCCTAATCTTTATACCTTGACTTGCAGTCACTTCATCTTGGTAAATTCCGATTTCACCCTCCTTAACTTTGGGAGTATCTGTTTCGGATTCATCTTTCACTTCAAACTAAAAGTACGAGAACGAGACCATTTTAGGTCGACTCAAAGGGTCTCTACTATGAATTGAGATCTCTACTAGCACTATTTTATGTTACTTCATATATGCTATTCTATATAAATTTCACTGCTGTTAATTTGCTTAAATACTGGTTAGTGGTTAGCTTCGATTTTTTTTTTTTGCTTCTTCGACTTTTACATCTAATAAGCACTTCATTACATTAAAAATGTCACAATAAAATTTAAGATCAAAACATTCAAATCTCAAAACCACATTCTGCATTAATCTGAACTAATTCTTCTCACCCCTTATAAAATCCTTCACATCCAAACAACATGAGCACAATTAAATTCAACCAATCCCAATTCCCAATAACAGACTGCAATTTCAACCCAAAAAAACCCTAATCACTAAAATCCAGCAAAACCCACCGAATAACATCACACAGCGCAAAAAAAATAATTTAAATAAGCAATTGAACAAGTGAAAGTAAATTTCTAAAAAATGTAATTACCTGTTGAGATTTAACAGAGGGGAAGGATTGATGCTTGAACGGCGAGTGATTTGGCACGCGCGTCTGCGGCGGCATAGGCCTGAGAAATGCGGATTTTCGTAGCTGCTGAAATGAAAATCCCTGTGTTGAATTAGCCGCAGACGATGATGCCCTTAACGATATCACATTCATGCATTCCATGAATGCAGATATGTATGTATGTGTGTATGTATATATTGTGTATCTATATGTGTATGTATTTTTTGAAAATTGAAACGAAATCAAAATTCAGTTGAGCTCGGAGTGCCTCGTTTTCTGTATGGATGGATGTGTATTGAGTGGAGAGATGGAAATGAAGTGCTATTTATAATTTATTTAAATTTAATAGTCGTGTGTTAGTGGCTATAAATCGTTGCAAGAAAAAACAAAAATATAAAAGGGCAAATTATGAAAAACCCCTTTATGTTTGGATAATTGCAATTACACTGCTCAACTATATATTATCTTACACGTTTATCCTTACGGTATCAAATTTACCTACTAAATTACGAGTTTTTTTTTCATAAGAAAATAAATAATTGAGGGTGGTCGTAATTTATCAAACCTGAAGAGTTTTTTTTGTAATATGACTTTATCTTAGGTGTGACCGTAAAGTCGAACAGAAATTGAGATTGCTAGTAATGATTTTTCAAAATAAGTGTTGTATTGTTTACCTAAATTAGTTGATCAAAATACTTGAGTAACATAAAATATGATTACTCTACTTATTTCCAACTAATCAAAATCTCATATTGAACAATGAACATTACTAATTTACTATGGTATGTTGATCTTAAAAATGATGCAATATCTTTATAGATATACATTTTATTGCAATAATCTCTTCCCACAATTAGAAGATATGGTAAAAAAAAATGCAAATGCAAAACAAAATCTCCAAAATATTATTTTATCTTTATCTTAATTGAGAACATACATATGCACACGTGGAAATTATGCCACCCCACCTGAATAAAGATCTATGGTGTGATCCAACGGTCCACAATCTCACCCACACAATACATACTATATAATACAATCATCTTGTTTAATTAGGACGTATCCCATCACATGCAATTACCTTTAATTGCTTCACAAGTTCATTCTCTTAATACACACACACACACACACTAAAAAATCCAAGCCACTTTTCTTGTTCTTCACATTTGTGTGCCAGCATAGAACTCATTAGAAGAAGCCAAGAACAAGCAAAGGGTATTCACTTTGCACCTTATTAATTTATATATCCGATCCCTGCAATATTTCTCTATATATGGTCATCATATAAACAAATAAATCTTGATTTAATATAGATATTATTTTGTGTGTATAGTTCTCAAGAAAATATGCATCGATCGGCGAGTTATACGTCGTCTGCCGCCAGATTATCCGATGACCATCAGTTCTTGGTCAACTTTCCGGCAGCTGCTTTGAAGGGATTGGATAATTCAAACCAGGTAAATAATTTTAATGAAGAAGATGTCTTTTTTAATAATGATGTCTCAAAGAAGGGTAAGCCTTCAAGAGGAGAGAGAGCAATTCATCTAATCCCACTGGTTTTAATTACTTGTGCTTTGGTTCTTTGGTGGTTTTCTAATCCAGTTATAATGCAGTGAGTTAGTTATATGACAATACAACTATTCTATGTTTTTATTATTTTTATTTTTATGTAAAATCAATTATGGTTTCTTGTTTTTAAATTTTATTGTTACACGATTTAATTCTTCGGGAATCATTTGTCGTGTAATCCTATTTAGTGCTTGCAAATGAGCTCAAGCTTGATGTAGGTCGATTCGAATTCAGCTCAAGGATTCATATAATTTCAGATCAAGTCAAAAACTCGAGACGAAGAAACTAGAAATTTATGTATAGAAGTGTAAACGAATAGACCGAAATTCATATCAAATTTTGATTTTCAATGCTACTCATGTAGGATCAATTACGTATGGTGAACTAATCTGTTATGTTTCTACATACATCTTTCAACAGATTAACTGAAAATCGAATCAAATAATTTGAAATATTCAAGATCTTGGAAAAAAAAAGAGGTGTTTTGAATATGCAAAAACACAGCTCAAAAAACGATATTATTCGAAAAAATTCCAATATATCGAGAGTTAGTTTGACTGTAAAAAAATAAAATAATAACTACTGTTATTCGTGAAGAAGAACGATATTGAATTATTAAAGCATATTTACATAAGACACTAAAGAAACTATATATTTGGAAACAAATTAATTATAATGCAATGGCGACTGAGCCATCATATGTAGGTAAGCCATTGCAGATTTTTAAGCATGGAGAACTTTATTTTCGAAATTCATTTTAGTAGAGCCTGATCCTTGTCTCAATGGGTACTCGGCAAATTGGACACAACGAGATTGTTTCTCCACATCCACAACATGTCTGAGATTGAGAAGAGAGAGATGATGATGAGAGATGAGAGAGATGATGATGAGAGAGAGAGAGAGAGAGAGAGAGAGAGAGAGAGAGAGAGAGAGAGAGAGAGAGAGAGAGAGAGAGAGAGAGAGAGAGAGAGCACAACTGTATACCTGGTGTCCACAGACGAACGCCATATTTTTGGGTTCGGTAATACAGATGGGGCAAAGCTGTCAAGAAAGTGAACAAATAAAGAACAATGTCAATTACAAAGAAATATATATACTTGTAGCTTCACTAATATAAACAAAAAAATATATAGAGAGAGTTTTATTACATGGTTTTCAGAAGCATCATTGCTTCTAGAAGGGCTGCGAGGCACTGGATCATGTACGCTAGAAGAAGGTGCACTTGGACCGAAACTGTTCGACCTAGAAGGTTTCCCCGTTTTAAAAGAAGCTGCACCGTACGAAGGAGGTGGAAGTGGGACCCGGTCTATAACCTTTCCTCTCGAAACACTGACCAAATATTTTTTAAATGTAAACAGGAGATTGCAAAAGAAATTCCCAACATAACCCAAATTAAAAATAAAATAAAAAAATTAAAAAAAAATGAGAATTTAAACCCGAGAAGGTTGAGCTCCAATGTGGCTTTATATTGTGAAGGTATTTCCATTAAAGCCGAAAGTGCAAACTCAGCTTCTTTCCGGGATCGATCCATGTTTTTCCACATTATTTCTGTGAAGTTCACAAACTAAGAAATACAGAGCATCGTTTAATTAGTAAATCTGCCAAAATGTGAAGCAAATCCTTTATCTAATTAAATAAAAGATTATTGCAAATGGAGAGAAATACACGAGGATTACTTGCCTGGAAATTGTCGAATGCTCGAGCAGGTATATTATCATCGAATTCCTTCATCATATCCCATGGTCCATCTCCAACTCCCACTACTACTATTGACAATGGGTACTCACTGTAAAGAAAAGAAATATAATACAAAAATGTTCACAGCTTAACCAGATTACAAAACGATTGTTCGTATATTATTATTATCAGATATTAATTACACTATGAGTTATTAAGTACCTTGCTTTGACAATTGCCTCCACAGTTTTCTTCTCTTGGGGACTTAACTGACCACGATCAGTGTCAACACTTCTTGTGACCTATACATCGAATTAAAAAAAATGAAATGTAAATAATTACACCGAGAAACAGAAAATCCATGAAAAAGAAAGAATAAGAAATTCCGAACTTTTTCATGGTTAATTTCAAACAATAAAAAATGATATTAACATTACTAATTAAAAACAATTTAAAACATGGTACTTTTCTATTAATACAAGAATAAAAGTTTCAGATTAATTTCGTCTATAACATAGTACCTGTCCATCGGCTATAATGAGTAAAACATGGTACTGGCCACCACTCTGTTCGACTATAGTGATAGCCATTTCGATAACAGGAGCAAATGATGTGGGGCCTGTAGAGAGAGAAGGAGACAGCTTTTGTAAGACAAAACAAATCATGTAAGAGAAAAATCTAAAGATTCAATAATCAACCTGCAAGTCGTAATTGAGGAACTAGTTCTCTATACCGACTCATCACTTCCTCAAAACCCTCACAAAATCTATCGTCTGAGAAAAAGCTGAAGACTTCTTGGTCGTGCGTTGAAGCTGTCAATAATAGATTTTCCGTAAGGTATTTGACTTTATTTTATTGCTACAGAAGTAAAAGTAATACAATGCTAAAGTAAATTACCGTCTCCAAATCCGAAACAGGGAATTAAATTATCTTCGTCGAATTTGGATAATGTTCTTCCAATAATTGATATGGCTTGTTCGTATGGATTTTGCTCATCTCCAATGTGATGCAAACTTCTCCGCTGAAATGATCTGGCACCTGAATGAACAAAATTGAACAAATTTAAAATAAATTTCATTACAGCTATGTAATAATATTAATAATATTAATAGTTAAAGAATTTTTTTGGCACACAGAAGGGAATATACCCGTCCACTCATTGCTCTTCGTGAAATCGATACCAACAATTAAATTTGAGGATTCCAGACCAGCGCGTGCAAGGGCATCAGTAACCTACAATAATGAACAATTTATTTAGAAAGAGTTAATCTAGAAAAAAAAATATAATATCTTAGTTGATACAAGGATATGTTAGAATAGTTGTACCTGATCTAAGGTATGGTAATTATCGTCTATTCTCGAGTATTTCTTATCCGGTTTCCTATTAGGCTCGGTGGGTGGTGGGCCATAGTTTGCATGTGGAGGTGCATAGCTTTGACTCCGCTGAACATATGGTGACTGCGCATGGGGCTGATGGTTCCATGAATTTGAACTCGATGATCCGTAGGACGAATATCGACCCGACATTGATTTTTTCGAATTCTTCGCACCCATTTTTTCTCGTAAACTTGAACAATGATTCTTTTTCACTGAAAGAATATGGTTAGTTATTTATGCATCATCATAACAAATGCGGCAGTTACAAGTAGAAAATGTAAGCATTAGATATTCAGGCTGCTGAATTCTGAAGTCCGATTGAAATTCAATCCAAACTAGAAACTCCAACAACAGCACGTACATTTATCAACGATATTATGTGAAAAATACGAATTCTGAAAAAACAAAACAGTATAATCTGGCTATATTTGACCAGACTTAGTTCGATACCTATACTAATTTCAATTCAATGCTCTTTAGCTACTATGGCAGTTCCGAACGAAAAAAATTCTCTGTTTAAAGTTTACAGATTAAATAAGAACGTTATATAAAACATCAGGCAATATGAAATCTTCTTGCAGAAACAAATTAAACTCCAATTTTACTATTTCGTACTCTTACACAGTATTCCGAATTTGAATCGTTCGTAGTCCATTTCAACAATCATGGTGCTAGAATAGTACTACAAATTATCTTGCATCTAAGGCAGAAGCAAAAGAGATCATATACTCAAATAGATTATACATAAGAGATGCAGTTCAAGAAATAAATCACTAGCTCGAATTCACGACTACTACGAGATCACTTGAATAAACGGAAATTAAAAAAATAAATAAATATCTCCTGCATTATCTCTGTCCAGATCAGTTTTCGAAGAAGGTGAAACATGAAATATTTATACGTTGTTGCCTTAAATTGAAATTGGGGGATTAATTCAGTAACCTAGAGCTTTCCTTAATCAAAAATTGAATTTCCACAACAAATTACATAAAATTACGATTATGTGTTTACTTATAATAATTAATAACAGATAAGATTTCAATCTCAACCGACATAGAAACAAATCATTAAATTAATTAAACCACTAAAAAACCTGAATCTAATCAAAGTTCTATCTTCACAATCACACACACACACGCACACACACACACACACACACACACACACACACACACACACACACACTACTCAAAAACAACAAAATAAATACAGAATCGAACATCAGAATCGATAATTAACTGAAGCACACAAATTCCAAACTATGCTGCAAATCAGAATTCAGAAACAACGCAGAATTTATACAACAAAACACAAACCCCGGCTTTTGATTAAACAAACAGCCAAAAGAAAAAAAAAATCATAAAAAATTTTGGTTTAATCATTAAATTAAATATAACAGATCTTCCTCACCTCGTTAACAACCTTTCTTCGCGTCCAGCATTGGTTGTTGTCACAGGAGATTGAGAAGAGTAAGAACACTGTGCAATGTGTGTGTTCTAGTGTGTGTTCTAGAGAGAGAGAGAGAGAGAGAGGAGAGAGAGAGAGTGTGAGATTGTGAAAGGTGTTTGTCGATTTAATTCACGTGTGATTTATATATTTACCGATAGTGGTAAAATTAAAAGATAAATCGGCTTTCGTAGTTAGAGATGGATAATGATAGAGAGAGTATTTAATACTTATAATTCCGTTGTGATTTAGTATTCTATTTTGATACGTGTTTGATAAAAGTGTATAAAATATAGTTAATATAACAATATTGACATGACACGTATTTATAGTTATATACATGCCTGATTTAAGATTTGGGTAAAAAGAAGTTCGCCCCTAAATTATTGGTAGTTTTGCAGTTTGCCCCCCCTAAATATTTTTTTTTAATATAGGTTTACTCCAACTAGTTAAGTCGTTGTACAGTTCCTTCTAAATTCGATTTTCTAGTAATTTTGGACGGAATGTTAAATTATGTGCGCTGCACGTGAGATTTGTAGGGTGAATTTGTCCATTCACTTAAATTGTATATATTAAATAAAGATTTAATCTTTAAAAACAAACAAGAAAAAAAGAAAAGAAAAATTATCATCTTCTTCCTAAAATCAAAACACCGACCACACAGGATCCAACTCGGAGTGGGTTGGAAACCCGACTCAGGAACGGTAATTGGTGCAAAGCACGTGGTAGAGCTGTCTAACGCAAAATTCAAAAATAGCTTCACACACGCTGAAACGGCCGGCGATTTCAGCGTAATTGGAGTCGGTGGCGAGTCTAACAAATCGATTTGAGTCGAGGTTTTTGGAGTAGATTGAGGTGCGAGGCGATCGGGTCACGACAGTCAAGCAACGGTTCGAGGAGCACTAGCTTGAAATTACGCCAATTTTTTTTTTTTGTGGGTCCGTTAGTAAAACTCGTGGACCCTAGACGATGGCCTCTCTCGCTTATAGATAAAATAAAAAAAAAAAAAGAGTTTTTTGTTCTAATCTACATCAAAGAATAGGTCCCTTTGTCATTTTTTCGCAGGTGGGGGGTATATATGTCAAAACCATGCATGATTAATCCACTCGATCATTTTCACTATCTTTCATTGTTTTGAATATTTTGTCAAATTTAATGTTGAATTATATATCTCTATCAATATCTTTATAGACATGGATTAATGTTCTATATTTGTTTTTCAGAACGTGTGATATATAATAAATATAAAAACAATTCACTTATTGCATGATTTTTAATATATCTTTCATTTAATTTGTACGAAAAAAATAAAATAAAATTGACCTTCTCCTAACTTTTCAATGATGAAAGTATACCTTTATCATGTGGACTATTTAATATCAAGATATTATATAGACAATAAAGTGCATTATTTTTGTCCAATTAGCCAACCCTTGGAATCTAACATGGAATATATGTACATGAGCTATACACTAACTTATTGTAGTGGAATGATATATTATTAGTTTATAATTACAAGGCATTTTATATGCTAAAATCAAGGTTGTAAAAGATGGGAATCGGGTCGGAGGCGGTTAGACACTGTCTCATTATTATTCGGTGCATCAGTGATTAATAGATGATAAATCAGAAATAAACAAAAGTTTAATAATACAATAAAAAATCTATACAAAAAGTACGAATAAAACGCAATTTTTTTGCATTGAAAATTATGCTTGAACATTGTTAGCATATAAAATTAGGTCCTTTAAAGATAACAATTAACATAATCAAAATAAAGTGTAGACTCATTTTTTGATTAAAAGACTAATTATTTTATTTTTATTCAAAAAAAAAAAAAAAGATCGACTTTTGACCGTCTTAATCCGCCTCGGACCGCCTCGAAACTGTTTATACAAACAATATAATATGATGACGGGCCAGAAGAATATCTGTTTGGGCTACTCCGTAAATATTGGCCCAAACCTGTTTTCATATTTAAGCCTATTATTATTCTTAATTTTGGGACATAAAACTTTATAAATAATTATCTTTCACGGCTGACGCACATTTATATAATAAAACACCGTTTAGAACCACAATTAGGAGAGGAAATTCAATTTCGGCGTTTCCGATCGGCGATCTGAAATTTTCTGATTTTGGAATAATATTTTTCATTATGAATTTTGAAATTCCGATTTTGCAATTTTTCGAAATTAATTTAGTTGGAATTGAAATATATATAAGATTCTGATTAGCGATCCGATTTTAAGTTCTGAAAATAATTCAAAACAATCCTATTTCTTCTGAATATTACACTTAAAATGTCAATTTTATTAGGTGTTATGTTTTAGGTGACGAAAGAAATGGAAATTTTGCTGAATTCCACCAATTCCGATCAAAACTTTCAGATTTTTGAACAATTTTTGTCATTCAAAATTTCAAAATTCCGATATTCAAGTTTTCTATTTTTTTTAACTGAATTGGAATTAGTTTTTCATTTAAAAAAAAGTCGGAATTTTTCTAAAGGGTTAATTTCGATCTGATCCGTCCGATTTATATCCATAACCCCGATTTTCGTAAGTTTATTAAGGTCTTGCACAGTTGGACAAGAAAGATTATACATAATTTTCCAATAAATTAAGATATATTTTCATCATTTGAGAAAGAAAGTATAAATGAAAGTCAATTTTGGACACAAAAGAAATAGTCAATACCTATCAATTATGTGAAGTTGACATCAACTAGTTGATTGAATATATATTGCATATCTAGAAGCTACTACAATAATGTGCATTCTTGCTTTCATTTAGATTGGGCAATTGACCAAAGGAAATCAAAAAAAAAAAAAAAAATTCACAAGAAAAGAATTTTGATCCTCAAACCCCAACGCTTCAATGATCAATGAAGATTTGAAAAAATAAATAACAAAAAATACTAACTTTATGTTAGAAAAAAGAAAAAAAAATTTGTTAAGAGTTACATATTACATATTGGGTAAATAACAATTAAAACCCCTAAGTTTGCAATTTTTTGCTGATAACCCCTTGTACTTGTATTATCAACACATAATCCACTTGTGATTGATATGAGTAGCGCCCGTTAGTTTTTCTATCAAAATTAACTGCATTGTGTCAAACGTCAAGATACTACATTTTTGCACATGAGCTCCTTGTGCTTTTTTTTTTTTTTTTTTTGCAGTAACCCCCTGAATTTTGACAGACGCAATTAAGTTTGACAGAAAAACTATCGTACGTTACCCTATCGATCACAAGGGGGTCATCAACAAAAACTTGTAATAATTAAGTGATATTTACCCTTACATATTTGTTAAAATGAAAATTAAAAAAAGCTAAACAATTTGGAAATCTTAACACAAAATTGGCCAAGACAGTTCATTTATTTCATTAATCATAATTAATTTTACAAACACAACAAGGCCTAATCAAATAAAAATTAAAAACAAGTTCAAAACATACATGCAAAACATAAAGTTTGCTAATTATATTACACAAGATTACAAAACTTCTTTTTAATTACCCTACTAATCCATGGATGAAGTTACTAACACAAGAGGAATCTTCTTATGCATTGTAATCCCAATCGCTTCTTCCAAATCGACATCTTCCGCCGACATCCCTTCCGGAAGCTTCCAATCAAAGCAAAACAGAAGATTCGCAAGCGCCAGCTCGACAAGCGGCATCGAAAAATTAATTCCAGGGCAGCCCCTTCTTCCAGCGCCAAACGGCAACAGCTCGAAATGCTGTCCCCTGAAATCGACCTGTCTGTTCAAAAACCTGTCGGGCCAGAATCTTTCCGGATTCTCCCAGTATTCGGGATCCATTCCAATAGCGGATGCGTTGAATAAAACCCTGGTTTTTGCCGGGATTTCGTACTTGTTGTCAATGGTGCATTTCTCCGTGGTTTCTCTCGGGATCATTAAAGGCGCCGGTGGATGAAGTCGCAACGACTCTTTGATGACGAGTTTTAGGTACGCGAGTTTCGGGAGATCGGTTTCTTCTACTTTCGTCTTTCCTTTCGCAACTTGTCTCACTTCTTGCTGGACTTTTTGCTTCACTGTCGGGTTTCTTACCAGTTCTGTCATTGTCCATTCGATTGCGGTGGCGGAAGTATCCGTTCCGGCAGAAAATATATCCTGGAAATATACAATGTTTTTTTTCAATTAGAACGATATACTGAGGCTAAGAAGATATATACATTTGAAAGGTTTGATTACAAGGGGCAAAAATCGGACGAATCATATTAGAACTATCACTTTCGGACAAATTTCAGTTACGTTCGAGGAAAAAATCCGCAATTTTTCGGACTGGAATCGGTGGAATTGAGAATTCTCATTTTTTCGGTCACTATATATAGAATACATAATAGCAATGATATTATAACATACATTTAAAATAATAAAACAAAAAATCGGAATCTTCATAATTGCTTTTGGAATTTAAAATAAGAATCTAATATGAAAAATCGAAAATCAGAAATGAAGCATGTTGTTCCAGCATCGAAAATAATATTCGAATCAGAATCGGTGGAATTCAAAAATTCCATTCCGATTTACGCTCTTAAGATAATTCAATTCAAGCGTACAGCTGGTGAAGTTCATCATCATACACATGTATATCTTCTATACACCCTGCACACATCCACATATATACGCTTGTGATTAATTGTGAGTTTATTATAGGATAAATAGCACTTAACCCCCATTGGTTACAAACTTTTCCAGATGAGACCCCTGTGCTCGTAATATCAGCATATAACCCCCTTGTGGTTTATAATGGTAGCTTTCGTTAATTTTTCCGTCAAACTTAACTACGTCTGTCAAACTTCAAGGGGTTCATTTGCAAAAATGAAAGGGAAAATGAAAGCACAAGGAGGCCATCTACCAAAAAAAAAATTGCTTTGACGTTTGACACTAGCGGTTAATTTTGACAAACAAACCGATGGAAGTTACCCCTATCAACCACGAGGGGGTTATATGCTGATATTAAAAGCATAAGAGGGTCATCTGCAAAAGCTTGTAGCCATAGGGGGATAAGTGCTATTTGCCCTTTATCACATATTATAAAAGTTACCTTGATGTTTTCGAAAAGTTAATCGAAATCAGCTAGTATACTTACAACGAGGAGAACGCCCTTGATGTGTTCGTGATTGAGAGCCATCCACGTGTGACGCGAATCCTTCTGAATTCCAAGCAACACGTCAATAATATCTTCAACATCGGGTTTAATCCTGACAGGATCAAGATGCTCCTGGATTACTCTGTCCAGGAATCTATCCAGGGCCTGGAAATTCTTCTCCAGCCTTTTGTCCACTCCATTAAACCTGTTAACCCAAGCCAGCCCTGGAAAATAATCCGCAACATTGAACTCGCCCACCAGATGCTGCGTCTCTCCAAGAACATCCTGGAATACACTTCCATTTCCATTTTCATCGACGGAGCCCATCGTGCCTAAAGCCACGCGACAAACAACGTTGTTGGAAAGCAAAAACGCCAGCGAACTTAGATCGACGAGGTTTTTATTTTTTTGCGAATAGATAATACGGTCCATCATTTGTGCCACCTCATCGACGCGTATGTTGCCGAAAGATTGGACCCTTTTGGCTGTCATGAGCTCCAGAACAACTAATTTTCTTATCTCTCTCCAGTACTCTCCGTACGGTGCGAAAGAGATGCTGCCGAAATCGTAGCTGATCTTTTTTGCACCGTAGAGAGAGGGTCGGCCCGAGAAGACCAGGTCGTGGGACTTGAAGACTTCTCGGGCCACGTCAGCGGATGAGATGACTATTGTTGGCACAAACCCGAGTTGTAAGAACATGAGATTGCCATACTTTTTGGACAGGTTTCGGAGTGTTCGATGAGGCAATTTTCCGAGCTGGTGAAGGTTGCCTATGATTGGAAGCTTCTTTGGGCCTGGAGGAAGGTTTGTTTTCTTCTTGATCAATAAGACACAAATGAATGGAATTAGTGTGATTTTAATGATGAACAATATGAAGGCAATCTCAGAACTCATTCTTCTTACAATAGAAATAATTATCTCTCTCTATGTTATCTTTCTATATGTATGTGTGTGTCTATGTTAAATATTGAATATTGGCACGTGTGAATTGTGATGATAAAATATAGGGCAAAACAAAATGATATATACAAGTTGTGTCATGTGTGGTTGAATTAACAAGAAGTACACGTTCAGTAGGAAGTACGTTTACTCTTCTTAGATATAGGCCAGCGTTTAGTAAACTCACTCCTGTTTGAACTTTGTTCACATGATTTTCTTGTACTTTCAAGGGCAAAATGCACACCACCCCTTAGAAATTTCTAATTTTTCGCACTTTACCCCTTCAAAATTTTAAAAAAGTCCATTCCCCCCTTTAAAATGTTATTCTTGTTGCACATCACCCCGATAGCAAAATTTCGATGGATTATTCATCGGCATTTGAGCATTTTTGTTGCACATTGTCCATTTATATGTTATTTTTGTTGCACGTTACCCCTTAAAAAAATATCTTTTTAGCACATTGCACTTTTAAAAAGTTATTTTTGTTGCACAATGCCCACCAAAAATTGGGTTCTGGGGCAAAGTGCAACCAAAATAATATTTTCAAGGAGTATTATCCATTTTTTGAATTTTTAGGGGGGAAAGTGCGAAAATGGGAAATTTGTAAGGGGTGAAGTGCATTTTGTCCTACTTTCAATGTAAGCACATGGCATCCCTGTAGTTTGAACTTTGTGCACTTGACCCCTTTTTACTTTTAATATAAGTACATAACCCCATATGGTATTCCACTTAGTAAATATATCATGCTCATTAAAAAGATGAAATTTTTGAAAGTACAAAGGGCTATATAGTTAAATTAAAATACAAGGAGGTCATGTGTTATACTGAAAGTACAAGGGGATCATGTGCACACAATTCAAACAACAGGTTGTTAAGTGCTACTTACCCTACTATTGGTTAAAGAAATTGATTTTAATTATTTTGTATCTAAAAAGTATAGTTGGAGCTTTTTCTCAAAACGTAAGTGTAGAGTAGATGCCGTCAACCACATGATTTATGAGTTTGTGACTTTGGTGAGTTTTGTATTGGGACCATCTATTAAATTTGAAGAAGAATGATGGGAAACCAAAAAAATCTTCAAAAATAAAAATTAATTTTGGTCCAATGAAATATTAATGACAGACTGTCGAGTTTGCTATCAACACGCGATATTTGGCTTGATCTTCGTCATAGAAATTTTTAGCGAGTCACTTAGTGTGTACGTTAATGGTTTTGTAGGTAAGACGCACATTTATTATCTGGTTGATCAACTAAAACTTGTGTGCAATAAACACGTTCCTTACTCTCTAGCATGAGAGACTTTCGAGCCACCCAACTCGAGTGGTCCTGCATCATAATCTAACCGTGTGATTAAAAGAGTTCATTTAAACAATTCCTCGACAAATTGAAATAGAATTCAAACTTTCCCACGTTTGCAAGTTGGTTAAATTATCGAACTAACCAAACAATAAACACAGTTCATTTATTTAGTTAAGGGCAAATTACACTTTAGCCCCTCCTACATTAATTCAATCTCACTATACGACCTCCAACCAATAGTTGTATCACTACACCCCCTTCTACTATAAATATTGCACCAATCAAGACCTCTGTTTTCGTTTTCTTTTAAACTTCTTATTGGTAAAACATATATAGTAGAAGAGGGTGTAGTGATATAATTTAGAGTAGGAGGTGATATAGTGAAATTGAGGTGGTGTTTGCAAATACTTTTAGAAAAAGATTATGAGTTTTTTTCTTCACATAATTCGTTTTTAGGTGTTTGCAGAACAAATTTTTGCTTTTGCTTATCTTAAAATAAGTTGCTTTAAGCTATAATTTTAAAGGAACTCGTGTACCTGTTTTTTTTCTATTTTAGTTGATTTTCCAGCTAATTTGCAAACACTCCTAACTTTTAGAAATAAACACTTAATTCCAACTTAAATCACAATCACTGACTTCTGTTTTTAAATAAGCTTTTGCAAACATCACCTGAGTTAGAGTCGAAAGGGGTTAAGTAGAATTTTTGCCCTTTAATTAATCGTAGTTAATTTTACAAACAAAACAAGGCCCAAATATAAAAAAAAAAGTTCAAAACAAACTTTGCTACTAATCCATGGATGAAGCTACTAACAAAAGAGGAATCTTCTTATGCATTGTAATCCCAACTGCTTCTTCCCAACCGTCGACATCCCTTCCGGAAGCTTCCAATCAAATCAAAACAGAAGATTCGCAAGCGCCAGCTCGACAAGCGGCATCGAAAAATTAATTCTAGGGCAGCCCCTTCTTCCAGCGCCAAACGGCAATAACTCTTAAAAGTTACTATGCATTTACTTTTCTACCATCAAATCACTAATTTGTTTTTCTGTTGCAATAAATTTTGATTTTTTTAATTTATTTTCGATACCATAAGGGGGTTAATGTGGCTTTTTTTCCATTGTACAGGAGGGCAAAGTGTATTTAACCTTAAATATTAGGACAAAATGCACTTCACCCCTAAAAATCATCTATTTTCACACTTTCGCCCCCTACAAATTGAAACATGAGACTATGCTCCTTCCAAATTTTTTTCCAGTCACTTTGCCCCACGATACTTCCAAAATCTTGGTATTTATGGTTGAATTAATACCAAGCACACGTTCAATGGGAGTGTTTACTATCAACTAGCTGGAGCAATTGATCTTGCCACTGAATAAAAGACACGTGGGAATTTTCGTAAAAACCAATCGTGTTCAAGCCTCAAATGCACTTCGCCCCTTAGAAATTTTAAAAAATCGTACTTTCCCCCCCTAGAAATTTAAAAAAGAGTCATCCCCTGTTGCAAATTATATTTATGTTGCACTTTGCCCCAAAGTCAAACTTCCGTCATATTTTTTTGGGCAAATTGCATATCATCCCCTATAAATTTATAATTTTTGCACTTTACCCCCTTAATGGAAATGTGAATGTCTCCCTTCAAAATGTTATTCTTGTTGCACATGACCCCTGTAGCAAAATTTTGATGGATTATTCACTGGAATTGAATGTTTTTGTTGCACGTTGCCCCTTTAAATGTTATTTTTATTGTACCTTGCCCCTTAAAAACATTATTTTTCTGCACGTTGCCCCTTTAAAATGTTATTTTTGTTGCACAATGCCCAACAAAAATTGGCTTTTCGGGCAAAGCGTAACCAAAATAATATTTTGAAGGGGGGTTATCCATTTTTTAATTTTTAGGGTGGAAAGTCCGAAAACCGAAAATTTATAGGGGGTGAAGTGCATTTTGTCCAATTTTTTTTTACTGGATTGACAAAACTCTGTCCACTTAAAGGGGATTGCCGTCATTTTTGGTTATATATGTAATTTTGTCATACCCAACCCAAATCCCCATTCATATAACCCGCGATACACATTAGGATTGAAAAATTAGGGTTCTTCTCTCCTATAATTACAAATTATTCGATTGAAACCATACATTACGTATGTCCTATTTTGTGTTCCTTCTTTCATGATTTTCGAACGCTTATGGGACACCGGGATAGCTTTCTAATCGAAGAAACAATGAAAGATTCTCAGACTAAAATCCCTAATTCTGTGTTCTGAAAATGTTTGGTGAAACGAGAGTGGAGGTTTGACGGTTGTTGTGTAAAAGAGAATGATAGGTTTGGATTTGGTGGGAAGGGCGAAATGACGGCAATACCCTTCGAATGGATGGAGCTCTGTCAATTCCGGTAAAAATACACCGGAAGTTTGACTTTGGGGCAAAGTGCAACATAAACATATTTTGCAGGGGAAATCTCTTTGTTGAATGTTTAGGGGGGAAAGTGCAAATTTTGAAATTTTTAGAGGGGCGAAGTGCAATTTGCCATAGATTTAACCAAGGGACACTTCTCAATTTGTCCAATTTTTAAAGGGTACTAAAGTAATTTCCATTAAATCTTCATTGTCCCCTTCCCGATTCCGAGTACCGAGTTGCAGATATCATGTATGGATAAACCATATCCAGAAAGAACAGCAACAATTGCTATAAATACGAAGTAGAAAAATCAACGGTTCAATTCATCACAATCCGCAAAGAGGAAGGAAAAGATCAACGGCTCAAAGAGTGTGGATTTTCCACTAATTTCACACCCAAATGGAAACTCTGGGAATTCAATTTTCTCAAATCAATACCCTAAATCTCGCTCAAAGACAAAGAAGATGGAATTATCTTCCGGGATCATCTCTCTTGCCGATTGCTACAGGCCCATCTGTATTGAGAATTCGCCGCAATGTAAACATAAAGATTCTTCCTTTTTTTTTTTGATTATGCATGTTTCGATTATATATATATATTTGAGATGGGTTTTTTATTTTGATTTTAGTTTTTGCTTTGTTGTTGGGGGATTTGGTGTTAATTAGTGCAGGGGTGGGACAAGAATGCAGCAAGTAGTTGAAGAAGAGTACGAGGTGAAGCAAGCTAAAGATATGGCTGCTGCTAGAAAGAGATGGGAGGCTCTAGTAATTCCTCTTTTTCCCTTTTTCCTACAATTTGATATGCTAAATGATCATTGAATATGAAATTTCCGATATCGAAGAATTTATCCCTGATTAATTTATTGCATTGTTGTCCCGCACGGGATGATCTAACGGTTCGAATCCCCTTGCCAACGGTCGTCAGGTGGAGTTTGTCACACAACGTTAGGGTTAGCCTAGTGCGGTTTACGTCTGTTGTATGATTTGCAAACTGTTATACGAGACTGTAGGTTAAGGTTAACCCAGTGCACCTGCATATATGGTTGGCTTATATGGTTGGCTGCGAGTTCCGTCATTACTAAAAAAAAAAAAAAACATTAATTGCATTGTTGAATGAATCAACTAGTGTGAATCTTGATTGAAGTTGGAGTTTAGAAATCATGATGCAACTTTTCTTTCGTTTGGGGTTAAATTTAGATTCGTTACGTAAATTCAAGAAAACTGTACTATTCTGGACAAGAGCTTCCATTAGTAGCATGTTACATTCCGTTGCATTACATTGTGTTATTCTGCTTATTATTCGGAATGTTCTTTAAGAAGGCGTGCAATTAATTACTTACGGAAATTGAAATCTTCTAACGTAGGTCAGAGATGGAAAAGTCAAAGTTCTAACTCCACGAGAAGCTGGATATGCCATTCAACTCTCGAATAAAACCTTACTCGATGTTCGTCCCTCTACGGAGCGTAAAAAGGTGAACATATTACTCTAATTATGCATTAAATTATTTTTTTATGTTTTTCGCAACATTGTAATATCACTATATTCATTTAGCTCGTTTTTTTTCAATTCTTGTTGAGAAGGCATGGGTCAAAGGTTCTACGTGGATTCCAGTATTTGACGTTGATGAAAATTTGGATGCTGGCACTCTTTCGAGGAAGGTTACCGGATTTATTATGGGTACTCGAATTTTTTTTTTTTTTTTTTTTTTTTTTTTTTATTAAGTCAAAAAATAAAACCCTTTTATTTAATTACGGGTACTTGTATGTTTATCCGACGTTAGGACTAATTGATGGCAGTCTAATTTTATTTTAGGAGGATGGTGGAGTGGCATCCCGACATTATCCTACTACAGGTATGATACCATTTGCCCTTATTTTTTCTATTACTATATATACTTATAAACTCGACTTCGGTCACATTTAAATATTCTCTTATATATATATATATATATATATATATATATATATATATATATATATTTTTATTTTTATTTTTTTCTTTTTCTAAACAGACAATTCTTATCAAAAGTCGAGGAGAAGTTTCCGAAAGACACAGATCTTATTGTGGCATGCCAGAAGGGCTTGAGGTGAGATTTACTTCCGTTTGACAGAGTTAAAACGGTGAATGCATATGTCCATTTGACTAAAAGACAATCATATAATACATATAATCTGCGAATATTCAAGAAACTTTTTTTTTTTTTTTCGATTTTTGGCGCTGAGTCATTCTATAATCAGACAGATCCCTTGCAGCTTGTGAGATACTGTACAATGCTGGTTATAAAAACCTTTTCTGGGTACAAAGTGGTTTGGAAGCTGCTGAAGAAGAGGTGCTTCTTCTTCTTCTTCTTAATCTTTATTTTATTTTATTTTATTTTATTTTTAGGGCAAATTACGATCACCTTTGATGTATGGCCAAATTACCAAAAAAACCCCTCTTGTTTGGGTGTTAAATTTACCTACTGAAAGAGGGTTTTTTCGTAAGACAATACATAGTTGAGGGGGTTAGTCGTAATTACTCAAACATGATGGGTTTTTTCGCAATTTAACCATACCTCAGGGGTGGCCGTAATTGCACTTATTTTTATTCTGATTCCTTAAAAATATACGATTTGTTTACTGTGCAGGACCTTGAAAGGGAAGGTTCCCAGCCCTTTAAGCTTGCAGGAATTGGCGGGCTTTCCGAATTCATCGGGTAAGATTAGTCACCGTTAATTAAATAATCACAAGATTGTACAATCTTATCTAGACCAATCATATCTTGACAAGTGTCCGATGTTTATGTTTAGTTGGACCGATCAACAAAGAGCTGCAGCTGCCAAGGAGGGCTGGGCTTACCGATTAGTTTTCTCCGCTCGTTTGGTAACTTTACTTTAAAATTTGGCCTTTTTTGAAAAAAAAAAAAATTAATCAGTTTTAAAACTTTTAGCAACCCGAAATTTTTTCATTGCAGATCGGACTTTTTCTTGCTGCGGATGCATTATATATCGGGGCACAGCAAATTGGGCGTTACATATCTCACTGAAAATATACGTTGACATGCTTTTTGTCTTTCGGTGAAGAAGACTGATTAGTACTTAAGCTTTTGATTAGGGTATTGAAAAGAGTCAAAATTTTGTTTACAACAACGGATGTTACGACCGTCGATCGTTTTATATGTTGTAAAAAAAAAATCTAAAATAAATGTTGGATGTATGAATTACATTTTCTTTCGATGGTCTTCGAAGTTGAGTTAGTCCGACGAAGTTGAGATCACTTCTATTATTGGATTTTCCATTAAAACCCGATTATTCGCTTATTTTCTAATTAGAAATATACATGAATCAAAGTTTATTACTCTTTGACTACGCATCAGAATAAATATAAATAACCAGGTGTACCATCTAATTTATCTTGTCTTGATGTTATAAAGAACTATAGAGGACCGCAGTACAATAATTTACTAAGGCTTCGTTTTCGGAATAAAATTAACCAATATAAGATTAAAAGTTTTTTTGCAACTGCCACACCAGTATAATAGATCTAATTGTTAAAGATGTCCGGTGTTAAAGAAATTAGTGTTTGCCCCCTGTGTTCTTCAGTCAAAGTCAATAAAACCCCTATGAGCAGACCGTGTAATTCACTCGTGTAGTCGTGTGTGAGTATTTCTTCGATTTTGCTTATGAAATGACATAAATACCCTCTTACAAATAAACATAAACTCAATGTAGTTGGGTTATAAATAATCTTAAGTTCAAGGACCAAATAGCAGTTTCACGAGCATAGAACCTTGATAAGTAATTATTGTATGCATATAAATAAGTTTCAATTACAACTAGGACCGGCAATTGAGTCGGGCCTAACCGAAGCCCGATGGCTTGGCCCAATTATATTTGAGCCGAGCGTACTTTTTAGTGAGCGGGCCGAGTTTGAGCCATTTTACTAAACCCGATTTATTTATGAGCCGAGTTTGAGCCTATTATGGCTCAACCCGAATAAGGCCCGACCAATTAGGATAATAATAAAATATATAATATATTTATTATTTGGGTTAATAGCATTTCGCCACCTGGACTTTGCCCGTTTTTGCACTTTGCCACCTTAACTAAAAAAAGTTGCAAGCGCCCACCCAAACTCAGTTTTTTGACGCATATAACCACCTAAGGGGAATATTCCGACGAATCTTCTAATTTTCCAGGCACGCGCGATGCACATGCGAAAGTACAAGGACTTTTTCGTCTTTTTACTTGAAAATATCACAAGGGCGTGAAATTGAAAATACCAGGGACTCAATTGAACTTAATTTGAAACTTTCACAAATTCAAAATTAAGAAGCTCTGTGGCTTCATCTTTCGTGGGATCAAAACACCCACCGCCTGGGCCCGGTGAACAACTGATATTGGTAATTGATGGAATCGGTGTAGATGTAAATAATATTGATAATAACCGGAGCAACCATCGAATCTGTTACGGTATGGACAGATCAAGAAGCGGCAGTGAATCTCCGGTGACCAGTAATCTTTCCCCAAATAAACCACCAACGGGGTCGATTAGATTGGATTGCGACCGTTGGGAGCCTCGGTAATTTGCTGGACGAGGGTTCGCATTGTAACGGGGCGGAAGATGTTAAAGCAGTGTGTATGATAAAGAATTTGGATAACGGGAAGGAGTTTGTGGTGAACGAGTTGAGGGAGGATGGGATGTGGGAAAAGATTAAGGAAGTGGGAACTGGGCGTCAACTTATGATGGAGGAGTTTTCGACAGAGATGTGTGTCGGCACTTCACCGATTGTTCAAGAATTAATGAGGAGGCAGAATGTTGAAGATGGGAACAAGTATGATTTTAGTCTTCGATTTGGGCCCCCAACAATTCGTGGGAAATCAGTTCGCCGGTCGTGAAAAGGTACCTCGGCGACGAGGAAGAACAGTGGTACATGCGGTACCACAGGCTATCCGACGAGAATCCGAAATCCGATTCAATCACTTCCGGAGTTGGGTTCTTCGTCTCTCTCATCCATGGCGAATTTCAGCAGATTGATGGCGTTGTTCTTCTTCATCTCTTTATTGGAGATTTTTTTTTCTCCATTTTGAAACAGGCGTGCAGTGGTGGTGTTTTTATCTCATGGAAGATGAAGCCACAAAGCTTCAATTAATTTCAAATTTGTGAAAGTTTCAAATTAAGTTCAATTGAGTCCCTGGTACTTTCAATTTCACCCTCTTATGATATTTTCAGGTGAAAATACGAAAAAACCCTTGTACTTTCGCATGTGCATCTCGCATGCGTTGAAAAATGAGAATATTCGCCGGAATATTCCCCTTAGGTGGTTATGTGCGTCAAAAAACAGAGTTTGGGTGGGCGCTTGCAACTTTTTTTAGTTAAGGTGGCAAAGTGCAAAAACGGGCAAAGTCCAGGTGGCGAAATGCTATTAACCCTTATTATTTTAATACTATGACTCAACATACAAGTTATGACCGTATAAGATTATTTGATTTTGCGAAGAAAAAAATCCAAATAAAAGGAATTAAGTAGTGACGGTGGCAATAAGTTAAATATGAATCAAATGCAATATATCACCGAGATTTGAGAATATAAAATGTTTCCAATAATAAGAGTTGCTAATTTTTTTTACTTCTTTCGGTTTTATTTTCAAGTTTTTCCAATAACTTTCAAAGATCGTTTAGGGTTTTTTTTATTGGCTTCAATGGAGGTAAATCTTGTTCATCACTTATTTTTATAAAAAAAATTTACTCCTTACAATTATATAGTAATGGGGCCCGATATAAACCCGAAAAAATACATGAGCCGAGCTTGAGCCTATTCTAATGAGGCCCCATGACATGTGAGCTTGAGTCTATAGTAATGAGGCCCGATGATATGTGAGCTTGAGCCGACCCAAGCTCGGCTCACATGGCCCGATTGCCAGCCCTAATTACAACTATGTAATGTCACTTATTCGTCTAAAATTTCATGCATATAGTGCTAGCCACTTGCAATATATAACGTGTAAATTCAATTACAACTATAGTGTCAGCTGTAATAATATAAACTTTAATATTTATCCCTACCTATTACTCTATTAGTACCCTTTACAAAAAAAGTGGCATTATAAATGACATAATCCTAAGGGAATGTATGGGGGTACGTGGAAATCGGACGTAATAGATCGGAAATGAAATTTTTTTTGGATTTTTTTTTTAAAAGTTAAAAATGGGTTCCAGTTTTCCTTTAATTATTTTTGACAAGTTTTTTCCCAAGCTCAAGGCAAGTGAAAACGGCGGGAGGGCTCTTTTAAGAACTAAAGAGCAAGAAAAAAATTGAGAGACCGATTTGAATTATAAAACAATCTTTTTTGTTTGTAAAATTATAAGTAATTCGTAAATGCTTTGCGAAGATTTGTTAAGGCAATAGAGCTCGATTTTGACGAAAAATCTTCATAATTAAAGTTAGCAATAAAAATTGTAAGGGGGTTTATAGGATATTTATAGGTAGAAGGCATGCTCATTTGATAGAGAATTCGATTCGAAATATGTGCATGCGTATGTCGTATGCCTATAAGGCAATATAGTTTAGTTATAGCGCATATTACGGATCTCCGAATTGTGCTTTTCGCGATACGTATTTTTAGTTTTAGACCAAATGACGTACATAGCAAAATCTAAAAGTAAAATGTAGAAAATCATGACCTATACACAAAATGGGTAAATTACAATCGTCCCCTGAGGTAAGGTCTATTTATGAAAAAACCCCTAAATTTTCTATAAGTACATCCAATCCCTTGCAATTTGTATTCTTATATTAACACCCTTTTGTAGGGAGTTAGATGTAAGAAATTTGCAAACTTCAGGGGGTAGGATGTAATTTGTTAAAAAGAAGGGGTTTCTTTGTATTTACTCAAGGGAGGTGGTTAAAACAAAAAAAATAGATTTCTTGAGATGGACTTAATTATAACATAATGCAGCTGTTTTTATTTCAAATACTCAAATAGAAGCACTTATCACAAACTTATTCAAAGAACTTAACAAATACAACTTTTTTATCACAATTAATATTAGTTCTATTATAAAAGTTATGCATCACTCAAACTAAGAGTTGGAACAACAATAAGAGGATATTTCTTCCCAATAGTAATTCCAGGTTTTTCACTCACATCAATTTCTTCTCCTTTCGCTCCATCGGGCAACGCCCAATCGAACTTATGCACGAGATTTGCTATCGTGTACTTAATCGAAGCTTCCGCAAATCCAATTCCAGGACATATTCTTCGTCCAGCTCCAAACGGGGTGAACTGAAAATCGAAGCCCTTAAAATCCACAGAAGAGTTCAAGAATCTTTCGGGCATGTACTTTTCGGGCTCGTCCCAATAAGACGGGTCCCGCCCGATAGCCCACGCGTTAATCAGGACCATTGTATCCGGTTGAATTTCGTATCCCATTAGGTTTACGCGTTCCCTGGCGGATCGAACGTATATAGAGACCGGAGGGTGGCAGCGAAAAGTTTCGTTTATTACAGCTTTAAGGTAGGGCATCTTTTGTATGTCCTCGTCGGTTATGCGCGGTTTGCCTTTCGACTTTCGTAACGTGTCTTACTTCGTCTTGCAGTTTCTTCATAACTTTGGGGTGCTTTATAAGCTCCGTCATTATCCATACCAACGCAGTCGTTGAAGTTTCCGTAGCGGCTGTGAAAACATCCTGTTTTTAATTTGGAAAAAAAAATGATGATGAATTATGATCCATGTGAAGAGTAAACTTACATATATATAAGCTTCTCAAAACATGTAAAAAATGATTAAAAAAGTAGATTATTGGAGAGTTTATACAGGGAGATAGATGTTACACTTGGTTATTTATATGAGTGTGTGTGTGATTATGCGTATTTACTGTTCAAATCCACCCATTGTAAATAACCCTGGTATAACGTCTAACTCCCCATGGGATTTTTGTAGACGCTACACATGATGAAATATACCGGGTAATTATGTACTATTAATCTAAACATAATATAACACATACATGTGTATTATTTCACCGGGCATCTTATAGATCCTACACTTGGTTGGTTATTTACACTGTGTGGATTTCAACCATAGCTCTACACATACACACCCATGTGCATGTGTGGTTATTTAATCAGATCTATATATGGTTGAAATTTACAAAGTGTAAATAACTAGATGAAATATGTAACTCCCGTCAAACTATCCTCTTAAAAAAAATACCATTTCTGAGAGTTTATTGCATTTAGTACTCCTGTGCCATATCGAATTGTTGTCATAAATATTAGCAAAAATCCCTCTTATAATCCATTTTAGCAAACAAACCCCTAAATAGTGAGTTAGGGGGAGATTGCTGAAAAAAATGATTCGAAGGGGTTTTTGCTAATAAAATAACACATAATGTTTTTTAGTGATCAGAGAAAACACATGGGTGGTAAATGCAATAAATCCTCATTTCAGGGGTTTGTGTGCCAGAGAAAAGTGCATTATACGACGAGTTTTGCAAATATTAATAACACAAGGGTACCGAATGCAAATATCGAAATTCCAAAAACTGAATATACATCGATCTTCTTACCAACGTTAGAGCTTTGACAGAAACGAGGTCAATGGAGACACCAGGACTATTCCCCTTGTATATACTCAACATATTATCCACAAAACTATGTCGAGACGACGCAGTCGAACTATTCGTCTCCGACTGCGCGGCCGTCGGGACTTTGTTCAGATGCTCGTCGATAATCGCATCCATGACTTCATCCCGTACCCTAACGCCATTGTCTAGTGCGGCATTGTAGCCGTTCAAAGAATTAATCCAACTGTTAAGTGTATATTTATACACTTAATTGTACCTTTTAATTGGAGCTTTTGATGTGTTTTTACGATAATTGGTGCTTAATATGGCTATTATTTGTATTTTAGGTGCAAATTGAAGAATTGGCAACTTTTGGGGTGAAAACTGCAAATTCAGAGAAAAAGTGGGCCAAAAGTGAAAAAATCAGAAATCTGGAGAATTAAAGACCGCACGGCCGTGCGGATTTTAGTTCAAAATCTCACACGGCCGTCCGGAAGGACGTGATGGCGCAGTGAAGGGAACTCAATTATACAAGGAAACCCGCCCTATTATAGTTTTGCACCCTATTTAAAGGCCACAAGCACACAATTAGACCTATCTTTTATCTTTTACCTTTCATCTTTATTTTAGTTTTTAGCTTTTATCTTTCGACACGTAATCAAGGAGCAAGAACGAAGACGAAGACTTGACGACTCTTCATTATAGTTCTCCTCTTTTATTGTTTTTATGATTTTTCGTATTTTCATTATGTTTTCCGTAACGAACATGAGTAGCTAAGTTTTTATTCTAGGATTTTATTGGAACCCTATGTGGTAATTCGAACCTCTTTTTCGACTCTTATGCAAGTTTAATTCTTCGATTATTTCTTCTATCTTGATCTTATTTAGCGCATGAACGTAGCTAATTTATGTTGCTAGTTGTTATTGTTAGAATTGATTGACAGATTGTTTTAATAATTAGAACAGGGATAGGAGAACCTTCGAGTAGTTTTTCACCGAATGCGTGTGTTAATTGCATGTATTATCGTAGACATACAGATAATACCTTAGGTAGCCGTTTGCGAGACTTGTTATTTAATGCTTTATTTATATTAGGTTTGCATAGACATATAGTGAATCTTTTATGAATAATAGGTTTATAGCGCAGCGACAGCTGGTTATGAATAATTTCGTGTCTTGGGTTAATAATCGGGAATCGTAACTTGCATAATAGGAGATTAGTTGGGTGAAGAATTATCGCATAGGGGGAAGATAAAATCCTAGATCCGTTTATTATTGACTTTTTCTCGTGTTTAATTGCTTTCTTAATTAGTTTATTTTATTTAGTTAATTAAATTGACAACCCTGCGTAGGCTGAATAAAAATCATAATTGTTAGGATTTGGTACTTAGGATTAAATAATTTGCGTATTCCCTGTGGGATCGACATCCGACTCTCACGAGTCTACTTTACTACTTGTTTGCGATACGTACACTTGCGTGTTGGTATTTAGCACCCAACAATCGTGCACGAACACACTCCTCAGCTTCCTCCATTGATCCCCGTACGGTAACGTAAGCACGTCGTTTAAGTCGTAGAATATTTTCTTGAGGGAGGTTAGGGCAGGCTTGTCGGAGAATGCGAGGTCGTGGGTTTTAAGGATTTGTTTGGCTACGTCTGCGGACGAAACGACGAGCGTCGGTTTCGAGCCCAAGTGGAGGAGCATGAGTGGGCCGTATTTTTTCGATAAATTCCAGAGAGAACGGTGGGGCAGTTGCCCTAGCTGGTGGAGGTTTCCGATGATGGGGAGAGTTGGTGGCGACGGTGGTGATTTTTTTGTCTTTCTAGTCGATGATGACGTAAGCCACCGCCATGCAAATGAGAACGATAACAAGGCTATGAAAATTGATACAAGTGGTGTAGTTAACAAATACTGAAACTCATCCATATTTTTTTCTGATATATGATATATTTTGGCTTTTAGGGTGTTCATACTTATATGAGGTCGTTAAAGCTGCGTAAAATTTAGGGTAAATTACGAAAAAAACTCCTGAACTTAGGCTAAATTACGAAAACACCCCAGCTCGTAGTTACCATACTCCCCTCGTTTGTTCCAATATTACACCAACCCCTTACGATGTGATTTCTCACGATTTTTTATTTTTATTTTTATTACTGGGAGTTCTGATCCCCGATAAATATCGATTTTACCCTTACAGACGTGACATTTTTTTATATTACTTTTGAGAGTAAAAATTACCCTATGTAATGGCAATTAGTAACGTGTAAGTTCAACTACAACTATTTAATTAATGGCACTTATAATTCGTGGAAAACGTACATACATATAGACTATATATATAGTGTCCTACAATCTTTAGTCCCAATTAAGTTGTAGCCACTAGCAATTATTTAAATGTCAAGTTGGGGTTGGCTGGGCTAATTAATAAAATAGTAGGGTAATTAATTAGTTAGTACGATTACAGTCAACTCTGAAGTTTGGTGTACTGATGATAAAAACAAATTTGATCTACTCCGGTTCTTGACATTTTTGTATGATGCACAACATCAACATGAATTGGAAAGAGTTGCTAACGCATGCATATCATCGCCCGATTTCGACAAGAAATCTTCGAAATTCATACATAGATATATTATAGCTAGGTAGAAGTTTGACGTGTTCATTTGCGACTAAGCTTAGCTTCTAAATGCCCCGTCAGTTGGAACTTTATCGCGCTCGTAAATTTTTGGATTTAATGTGGCCTAGTTGGACCTTGGATTGTTTGGCTTATTATATTTGTCTGGATCTAGCTAAGGATGCTAACATTCTTGCAAGATTGTCAGCCACCCCATTAAATGCCGGGTGAGATTCCATAGGCAGTGACGGAGCCAGTATATGACCAGACCAGAAGAGGTCATGGGCCGCCCTATCTTTTATGCAAGAATTTAAGAAAATTCTTGTATAATTAGCATTATGAGCCCCCTCGTAAAAGTTTTAATGCATTGGGCCTCCATGAACTTAAAATTCTGGTTCCACTAGTACTGCATATGCTAGCCCATGGAAGAGAAGGATCATTTTGGCAAGGGCTTAATTATAACACAATGCAGATGTTTTTATTTCAAACACTCAAATAGAAGCTTAACAATATAACTTTTATTCTAAGGTAAATGGCATTTGAACCCCCCGTGGTTCACAGCTTTTGCGGATGACTCTTTTGTGGTTGTAATATCAGCACATAATCCCCTTGTGGTTGATAGGGGTACCTTCCGTTAGTTCGTCAAACTTAACTGCGCCGGACAAACGTCAAAATACTATATTTTGAAGATGACCTCCTTGAGCTTTCATTTTCCCATTAATTTTTGCAGATGACCCCCTTGAAGTTTGACGCACGCGGTCAAGTTTGACGAAAAAACTAGCGAACTCTACTTCCATCAACCACAAGGAGGTTATGTGCTGATACTACGAGCACATAAATGTTATCTGCTAAAGCTAACTTATAACCACAGGGAGATTAAGTGCTATTTACCCTTTATTCTACAGCTATGCACTCAAACTAAGAGTTGGAACAACAATAAGAGGATGTTTCTTCCCAATTGTAAGTCCAGGTTTTTCGGTCACATCAATCTCTTCTCCTTTCACTCCATCCGGCAATGCCCAATCGAACTTATGCACGAGGTTTGCTATCATATATTTAATGGAAGCTTCCGCAAATCCAATTCCAGGGCATATTCTTCTTCCAGCGCCAAACGGGATCAACTGGAAATCGAAACCCTTGAAATCCACAGAAGAGTTCAAGAATCTCTCAGGCATAAACTTTTCGGGCTCGTCCCAATAAGACGGGTCCCGCCCGATAGCCCACGCGTTAATCAGGACCATTGTCTCCGGTTGGATTTCGTATCCCATTAGGTTTACGCGTTCTCTGGCGGAGCGAGTGTATACAGATATTGGAGGGTGGCAGCGAAGTGTTTCCTTTATTACAGCTTTAAGATAATGCATCTTTTGTATGTCTTCGTCGCTTATGCAATGTTTTCCGCCTTTCGCAACGTCTCGTATTTCGTCTTGCAGTTTCTTCATAACTTTGGGGTTCTTTATGAGCTCCGTCATTATCCATACTAGAGCGGTCGTCGAAGTTTCGGTTGCAGCTGTGAGAACATCCTGTTTTTTTAAGTTGGAAAAAACTGACAATGAATTATGATCCATGTGAAGAATAAACATACAAGCTCCTCAAAATATTTTAAAAAATTAAGACAAAATGCACTTCGCCCCGTATAAATTTCTCATTTTCGCAATGTCCCCCATAAATATTAAAAAAAAAGGAATATTCCTCCTTCAAAATGTTATTTTGGTTGCACTTTGCCCCATAACCCAATTTTTGGAGGGCATTGTGCAACAAAAATAATATTTTGAAGGGGGGAACGTGCAAAAAAAATAGTGTTTTAAAGAAGCAGCGTGCAATAAAAATAACATTTAAAGGGGCAACGTGCAATAAAAAATACCCAATTCCGACGAATAATCCACTGGAGTTTTGGTATCGGGACAATATGCAACAAGAATAACATTTTGAAGAGAGGCATTAACTTTTAAAAAAATTGAGGGAGTAAAATGCGAAAATTAAAAATTTACAGGAGGTGATGTGCAATTTTCCCTATTGATGCAAAACATCCTCTATGATTCAATTTTTCCAATCAAATTATCCCCTAAATAGTGAGTTAGGGGAAGAATATTGCTGAAAAAAATGAATCATAGGGGTTTTTTGCTAATAAAATAACAGGGAAAGTATTTTAGTGATCAGAGAAAACACAGGGGTGGTAAATGCAATAAACCCTCGTTTCACGGGTTTATTGCCAGAAAAAATGCATTCTAGGGCGAGTTTTGCTAATATTAATAACACAAGGGTAATAAATGCAAATATAGAATCTTCTTACCAGCGTTAGAGCTTTGACAGAAACGAGGTCAATGGAGACACCAGGAGTATATCCCTTGTAAATACTCAGCAAATTATCCACAAAATTATGTTTATTACCCGAACTACCCTCGGTGGGCCCCACCATGTTCAAATGTTCTTCGATGATGTCATCGAAAACCTCATCCCGTAGCTTAACAGCTCTATCTATGGCAGCATTATAGCCGTTCAAAGAATTAATCCAACCAAGCCACGGAATCAATTCCCCCACCGTGAAGCTGTACAGCAGCCCGACGATTTCGACCATCGTCGTCAAGAACTTCTCCCCACGCGCCGTCTCGCGGCTCAGGTGCTTCTTCCCGAAAGCCGCGCGTGAGATTAAATCGTTCGAGAACGACAGAAACATATCAGACAAGTTCAAAGGTGGCGGCGTGGCCGACAAGGAATTGTTGTTACTACAGCAGTAGTCTCGAGTAATCCTTTCGACGACGAGGCCGATTTCTTGTTCCCTAATGGAGTTATAGGATTTCACGCTCGCGGTATTGAGTAGCTCGCGGGTGGCGATGCTTCTCAGCTTCCGCCATTCGTCACCGTAGGGTAAGTTTATCAGGTCCTTCAAGTCGTAGAATATTTTCTTGAGAAAGCCGAGGACCGGCTTGTCTGCGAACGAGAGGTCGTGCGTTTTAAGGACGTGTTTGGCTACGTCGGCCGCGGAAACTACTAGGGTTGGTTTCGAGCCCAAGTGGAGGAGCATGAGTGGGCCGTGTTTCTTGGATAACTGGTGGAGGGAACGGTGGTGGAGAGTCCCTAGCTGGTGGAGGTTTCCGATGATCGGGAAGGCTGGCGGCGACGGTGGTTTCTTTCGAGATGATGATGACGTAAGCCACCACCATGCAGAGAATGATAATAGTAAGACTGTAAAAGTTGATGCAAGTGGTGTACATAATTGCCACTCATCCATTTTTTTTTTTTCAAAATGAAAGTTTGGCAAGTTTTTTGGCTAAGTTTATTTTACTTGTATTTTGGCTATCTGGATTTGTGTACTAGCTTGCTTGGCGAACCTAGGGGCTTTTTGATGGGCTAAAATTAGGGTGTCAATTAAGAGAATGAAAAAAAAATTAAGGGCTAAAAGTCTACAAAATTCAAATCTGGTTGGGAGAAGTCTATAAATTAATAGATAAATACCAAATCAAGATAAAATAAATAATATAAAATAGGTTAAAAAAAATCTGCAGGGGCGGAAGCTCAGACTCCACATGGGTCCGCCCTATATGCAAGTGAAAACTGCATTTGAATCTACACACCTATGTGTGTGTTTGCGTGCTTATAAATAGTAAAGATCTACTTGCTGTATAATAGTATAAAGGGTAAAATTCATTTTGCACCCCTATACATGTGAAAGGTATCCCTAATATGTAGAAAACATCAAATACCCCCTATTTTTAACTTAACGGTCAATGGTCAAACTTTTAATGGTGTTAAATTTGAGTGTGCACTGACTTTTACCTGCTTTATGTCTGATATAATCCCTAATTTTTTGAGGAATATTTTTTGTGGATTGTTGAAGATTTTTAGCGTGCGTTCAAATTATGGTTTTTTGTCGATTTTAGTATTTGATTTTAAGGATTTTTAGTTTCTTTTTCGGGGGATTTTCCCATTATAATATGAAAAGCTTTGATTTTAATTTCATATGGTTTTATTCCAATTTTAGGGTTTCTTTTAAATTTCACGACTTTTAGTTTTATTTTTTGTGAATTTTACATTCATAATCTGCAAAGCTTCATTCTTATTTGTTCGACTTTTCAGTTTTTTCTATAAGAAAATGGCTGAAAATAGTTAAAACTGTTGTAAAATGGCCTATTTATCTAGCTCTTTGGTTTGTGTTTGTGGAAATACATAAGAACATAATAACGATAATGGAGAGCGAATGAGAGAATGCAAAGAACAAGAATCCGTAGAGAGAAAATTGTGGGTATCCATGGGGAGGGAGTTTTTCTCATTAATATAGGTGTAAGCCACCGGAAGTTACAAGGAGGAGTTACAAATGGAAGTTCCATGGAAGTTATTTCCTGCACACATCATGGGACTAAGGTGTGGGAAGTTTACACTAGTGGGAGGTTGAAAACCATCAAGTGGTTATGTTAGGAAACCATGCACACATTCCATACTATTTACAACACTCCCCCTTGGGTTCCTATCAAACCACTATTGTGCTTTTTGTGTTGCCTCGTTAAAACCTTCCGAGTCATAAAACCCATTGGGAAAAAAAAAATCTCGGTTAGGGAAAAGAGTACAACGCACAATCTTTTCAATCAACAAATGTTGCCTCATTAAAACCTTGTCGAGTAACTAAAACCCTGTGGGAAAAATAAACCTCGCACGAAGGAAAAAGAGTACAACAGGGCACTCGGGTATCTTCTGGATACTGAGTACCTACAGGGTACTCCCCCTCAAGTTAACTCCCTCTGATGTCTACAAGGGAGCGAGCTTGTATAATCTACGCAAGTCAAAAGCCTTAACATGAATTTTCATAGTGACTTTAGGCGAAGACTTAGTAAATAAGTTTGCGTAGTTAACTTAAATCATGATCTGCTGGATCATTTCAGCTCTTATTGTTGTTGATTGAAGAAAACTTCAAAGCTATGTACATGGAGTTATCACTTTAATGAAGTCCGTCTTCATTTGCTCAATGCATACTGTATTACAGTAAAATACAATATCGTAGGATCTTTTGTGTTAGTCGATTCACAGGAATCTCGAACATGCATAATCATGGCTTCAGGCCAAGTGCATTCACTCACTATCTTGTGAAACAAACATCATGCATGATTTGATCTAGTGACAACCGATGTACATTTCATAGAATCCCAAGACATAGCTATTTTCCCAATACTTAACCATGGATTGGGAACGAGCCTTTTGTGGATATGACTTCTAGTCAATGCCAATATAAACCACAAGTTTCGCCTCATTCATTGATGCATAGAGTAAGGTGAGATAAGTCTATCATATAAATTTACCGAAAAATCTTAATCATATCGAGTACATGGAGTTAAGCATAATAATGCATATATTGCATTTACATATGGCACTTCTGGTGCTAACACTTCCTCGTCCTTCTCCATGGGACGAAATGAATCATTGGACCTATTCCACTTTCCAACTCCTATAGGTGTTACTCGATAATTTATCTTTATCCATAACATCTTCTGGATGTAATTCGATTGATGGACAAAAATTCAATTGACATGATAAATTTGAAGTCGGTAGGGACAAGAAATTAGTCTTCTTTAGATCTTTGATCTTGAACTCAAATTTTCAACAATTGAGTTTTTCTTACTTGACTTCTAGTCTAAATCAAGTTTATGTCCTTTATATAAATTGTAGTAATAGGAACAATCAAAACCAATTATTGTTCACATATTCTCTTCCGAGCAATTGTTCACTTAGGCAATTGTCTTATATTCTTCTAGAATATTTCTAGTCATAATTAAAGTAAACATCTCAGCCCAACTGAGTTTATGTTCCGTGATCTGGAACTAATTGCTTCGGGAAATCGAAGTCCTTCTGGAACTTTCATATAAATACTTGTATCTAGATTCTCATTAGATACTTTGTGACCACGTATTTAATAACATTCACCATGAAAGAGTATACCTCTTTAAAATCAATCTCAGTATTCTGAGGAATCTTTGAATTATGAGATGAGTCTTCGAGCTCCCAATCTCATTTGCCCATAAATCATTGTACTGTGAGATGAGTCTTCTGGCTCCAAATCTCGTTCGAGCTATGAGATGAGTCTTCTGGCTCCCAATCTCGTTTAAGCTATGAGATGAATCTTCAGGTTCCCAATCTCATTTGAGCTATGAGATGAATCTTCTGGTTCCCAATCTCATTTCATTGATTGAGCTATGAGATGAGTCTCCCGGCTCCCAATCTCGTTTAAGCTATGAGATGAATCTTCTAGTTCCCAATCTCATTTGAGCTATGAGATGAATCTTCTGGTTCACAATCTCATTTCATTCCTTGAGCTATGAGATGAGCTTAATGGCTCCCAATCTCCTTTGAGGTATGAGATGAGCTTTTTGGCTCCCAATCTCGTTTCTTTTCTTTGTGAGTACTCACTTATATCTCATGGGTGAAATTCAAGGAGTTGTAGGAACTACTGGTCTCTACACTCTCCATTTTATCAAGGAATCAAATTCAGCTTGGATTGATTTCGGCCATCATCCATTTGTTTACACTTATCAATTGATCGAGGTTTTTATCAATCACTCGTTAAAACATTCAGTAGCTACTGTGTAGGGAAGTTTATCATCGATGATCATTTCATCCCAATACCACATCTCGTTCATGCATGAATAACTAACCGAGTTTTTACTATTCACGGAATGGATATTAATGTCGAGGCGTCCCCCGACTTCGTCTGCAGGACGAATCCATAGTCCGGAATTATTTTATGAGATGGATCAAGTGGGATCCCATTTATACTAGTGCTAACCGGATTCAATTGTTGGACATTCATCCACTTCCGGGGGTGAGAAATCATTTGGTCCCATTGCGCTCCCCCTATCCTAGGAAGGGAGGCAAGACTAGTTAGCATGGATTGATGGCCTACCCGTAATTGTCATTCTAGGACATCTGCCATTGCTGGCTTACTTGAGATCTCGTCACTTTTTCAAATCAGAGAATGAGTCTGGCATTATTCGTTCTACACGACTTCATATTGTTCTTTAGAAACATTAGTATGGACGTTCTTTTCAGATTTCTAAGTCGTCCCATACGACTTGACGCCGTTCTTCGGGAACGTTACGATGCACATTACTTGCAAATCTATATTTTCATCCCGCACGACTTCACGTCGTTCTTCAGGAACATTAGTATGGATGATCTATTAATCTATGTATCAATTCTCTGATGTAGGGGATCTTGATGAGACACTGTGGGGTCGTCTCACACGACTTCACGCCGTTCTTCAGGAACGGTAGTGTGAACGTTCTTTCCTCCCCCTAACGGCGGGAAGACAGTCTCATCAAAGTGACAGTCCGCAATTTGAGCGGGTAAGAGATCGCCTATATTAGGTTTTAAATTTTAGTTAAAGATGGTGATACATAGTCCACATATATCTCCTTGGATTACCTCCAAGAAATGAATTGAATCATTATATGTATGTGCGTATGCTGACATATAATCAAATTACTTAACTTCGAGCAATCGACAACTTATGCTTCTGGCATACAAATTGTTGTTCTATATAACCGTGTTTGAAAATTCCTCTAATTTTCCCAATGTACGCTTCTCGCCGTACACGTTAGAGATGATGCACATATCAATTTCTTGTGTTCAATGGTTTCAACAAAATAACCATTAGCTCAAATATCTTTAAAGTTTAATAACGTTCTACTGGAACGTGGAGAAAAAATGAGCTACTTCAATGGGCAATATTGTGCCATAAAATAACATAATGTGGACATTACCATAACCATCTATCAAAACTCTGTATGCCTCATTTAGTTATCAAAGAGGTCTTGCTACAAATAGACATGTAATTAATAAAGTACGACTTATCTCTCAGGATAGTATGTGTTGCCGCACTATCTACCAGACATTTACCCACACATGTCATGTCTAGAGAGTTATATAAATTTAATCACATATATTCAGTACTTCAGGTACTAAATAAATTCATCAAGCAAACACCACTGAATAACATAATAATTAACTTAGAGCATAAATATCTGGTCTAGAGCATAAACTAGACATAATCAAAATATGAATATGGTTTCTAACATGAGCATATGAAGTAAGATGATTGAAATTCAATAAACTAATAAACCCGAGTAATAAAATTAACATAATGCATGAAATCAACAGTTCAATCATATCCCAACATGGGTTATTTGGTCAGATGTGCCCAAGTATGGAAGCTGAGTGATGCGCTATACATTGAAAACATTTACC